AATTTGCACGCTTTACAGTTTTCCATTCGAACGATTCGCATTAACTTGTTTTTGAAACGTCCGATTATTAATATCTCATTTTGGTTTTCCGCAGTTACTAAATCGTCGTCAGGCCTTGGCTCGTGTATGTATGTATCGCACGTTACGATTACTTCGACCATTGAACCGCGAGTATTAGTCAAGTTTTCGAAGCGTGCTTAAATAAAACTCGTTTCCTATCGAATCCTTTCCTCCTCCCGAAATTTTTTTCTTTTTTCCCTCGTTATGTTTTATCAACTGTTTGAAGTAGGTCGCGCGAATCGACGAGGGCACGAGGGGGAGAGAGAGAGCTAAGCGAGAATTTCAAACGCATCGATCCATTTTCAATTCGACTGCTCTAATGCTCGACGATCGAAGCTCGCAATAACTGTTAATTAGTTATATTCGTTTTAAATTCATCGAATAGCTCTAACGATCTTTGGACGTACGGTAGTTGACGTCCTATCAAAAGAGAACTTGACTTTTCAACGATAACGAATTATTGATAATGAAAATGAAAAAGAAGGCAAGGAGAAAAGAAAATAGAAAAACAAAACAAAAGCAAAGAAAAAAGAGGCGATCGACGCGTAAAATTATAAAAAAAGGCGGAACGGTGGAATTAACGATAGGAACGAGATATAGCATAGGCAAATGGTCTACGTAATGCCGCAAATGCGAGCAATTTCACGGGAAACGATTTTGAAACCTTTCCCCCATTTCGATAGTACGTTCACGAGTTACAAAGCAATTACGGTCGCTTCTCGCGTCTAGAGAGTTTGCAAAGTCTTTTTTCTTCAAAGAGATTCGTAATTTATTTCCAAGTCACTTTGACAAGAAAAATCTTCATACTCTTTCATCGTCATCCTCTTATCGTCTAATCGTTCATTTCCATTTCGTTCCGTGGTGAAGAAATCTCTCTCGGTGTCACCGTCGGGTGTGCGTTAAAAAATGACGAGAAAAGTCCGCGACAAGCGTTCCTCTCGTCGTTCGCGCTAAGAGGTTCGCAAAGTGCTTTTTTAAAGCCGACCCCCGCCCGAGGTTATTTCTAAGATATATTTCGAACGAGAATCCTCCTCTCGGTATTTCCCGTCGAATTAACGAAACGATTCCCGATCGAATTAAAATCGATCAAAATCGATCAAAATCGATCAAAATCGATCAAAATCGATCAAAATCTCCCCTCCTCTCTTGCCCTTTGCCCTATCCTGCTTGAACACAGGTATCATATCTAATATCACCTTAAGCGTAACTCTTTCGACGTCCATATAGGTATCCAACGGATATTAGATACTTCGAGTTCATACGATCGACCCACTTTTTCATCCATTTTTTTTTTCTCGATCGCCGTCAAGCGCCGATCACACAATATATCGTATATCCCACATTTCGTCGGATATTGTGAATATTGGAGAAAGCGGCAGGTGTGTGTAATGGTTAATTGACAGGCGGTGTGACATGTTAATAGATGATCGTTCGTTGCAGAAGTACGCGTGAGCACGCTTCGCGTCGAATCAACGATAGCAACAACGAGGACGGGAATGTACCGATAACGCGGTCTTTGTAAAACCAATTAGCGTTATCCTCCATTTACATTGATCCGCGATTATTAGCGGGGTTTCTCTACCGAATATTTTCCGTTATATACTTTCGATCAATTTGAAGGATCCTATCCTAGTTTATCTTACCTCTTCCATAGATTCGAATCCATAGTTGCGTCGTTCGAATATAATATAATCGATTTGTTGTTCCGCGTGACCGGGCGGTGGGGGGATACATGCCAAATCTTTGTTCGTGGGAAAATAATATCGAGGCCATCCTTTTGAAGTTGTATATGCGCGAGATTAATCGTTCAGTATAGCGTCGAAAGATTCTTCCTTGTGACATTGTTTGGACTTTGGCAAACGTCAAAGCTTTCATATTTACATTACTCTGGTAGTGCGCGTCCGTCGTTCCTGTAATAACGAGAGACCGCACTGGCTTTGTCGCAAATGGCTTTGCGATAATCGTAAAATTTTGATGTCGTTGATTCGAACGAACGTTTCCCTCGAATCCCGTGAATTACTTTATTCTTCCCGTGGCCGTGCCCGTGCCCGTTCGTGATTTTATATTTAAATTCATCCCACGACGGCATCAAAAATAAACTCCCAGGACGAAGTTGGCGCTTTATCGTGATTAAATGTCAACATGGCTGACGCTGCGATATCGCGTTATCTAAAATTTTTTCCAGTTATCAGCTCAACTCGCGCACACGCCAGTTCTACAAAGTCAATAGTATATCTACGATCGTCGACGAAACATTTTGTTTTTTTTTGCTTTTTTGTTTTCTTTTTCTCTCTCTCTCTCTCTCTCTTTTCTCTCGCGCTTGGCTGTGCGCAACTCTGTTTTTTCCCTCGTTTGCGCTCGCGCTCGCAAAAAGAGCAAAAAGCAACGAACAAAAAGCTTCGGGCGACGGTCGAGGCAAAGTGCTTTATTAACTCGACGCGAACTCGTCGTCCATTCTCTCTTATTCCTTTGTTCACCTTTTCTTTCCTTCCTATCCAAGCGCATCCTTTTCTTCTTCCTTTAAGAACTCTTTTTTCCTTAAAACTCGTCAAAATTCCGACGAATTCGAGAGATTTTGTAGCTTGTTTCCGGGAGTATTACGTACCGTTCAGATACATATACAATCAGCATATTTCCTGCTCGTCCACAGACCGAGAAGTTCGGTTCGCAAGGGAGCATAAAGAAAAAGTTAGCCGGCGTTGCGAGCTATAATTTACGATGAAATTATGCCCGAATCGACTATAAAATTCTCCTCGGTTTTAAGCGAGTAACTTGCGCCACGTTAAAAATCTCAGAATGCTTTTAAAACTTCGCGACACCGCGTCTGGAACCCACCCCGATAGCAGGCTTTCTCCTCGTTGCAGACCGAAACGGTAATAACGAAGAACTTTACATCCTCGAAAATCGTTCCATCGAATTTAAAAAAACTTTATCTTTGCGTTCATCGTTAATTAACTTTGATTTACTGGATAAGAGAGAGAGAAAGAGAGAGAGACGGGACGGGGGGGAAGAGCGTGGGCGCACTTTCTTCTCGTTGCATCTGTAGAAACTACGAGTGCGATCCTCCGGTAATTTCCTCTCTACGAAAACACCGTTTCGTACTTGCGCAACTTTCTCCTTTGGTTCCTGAATGGCGAATAGTTGTTTTTCACCTCCTCGAGTAGTATCGGTCGCGCGCTCGCGCAAAGCAAATTTGCACCAAACCCATTCGAGAGAAACTCTTTATCTTACTCATCCTCCTCTTCTTCTTTCTCCACGAGGAGAGTACTTGAACGAGTATTCGTACTGGCAACCCAGACGCAACGAAATTGCAAACGAAATTAACGACTAAACTGCCAAACCTTTTCCTCCTATGTTCTACGTTTTCCACGCTTCTACGTAACAAACCGCGAAAGTTCGTTCGGACGATCGTTCGATCCGTGAAAGACGAAATTAACTTTCAAATTCGTTCACCAAGAAAACAAACTCGTCAGATATTTTAATGTTGTTCGTTCATTAATACTCGAATATTATCACGTAAACGTCCATCTTGGAAATTTTCATAGAATGAACGGTAACTAACCTCAATATTATTGATCGCCAAGCTAGCTCACCGAGTACTAGGAAACTCGAATTTTGGTTCGAGTAAATATATTTGCACGTCCTGCAATTGCAGACGGACGTACAAACACAATTAACAACTCTAGCGTCTATAGGAGACTCTAAGCTTCGAATTTACGCGACCTGTTGCGGAAGTTACTTGCCTTATCTACGCATCACCGTCTTTCGACGCCTCGCTCGTGTTTTCGAGTTTGCTCGCTTAACTCGCTTTGCGAGTGTCTCGCAACTCTCTCTCTCTCTCTCTCTCTCTCTCTCTCTCGTTTATAATCTTACATATACCATGTTTTAATTAATTTCAGCGTTTATTATTCCAATCTTCTCAAAAGAGAAAATTGCATTAATCGATGTATCGAATTGACACTATTATATTCAAACTATCGTAAATCTTTGATGGTGAATGATGATTCGAAAAAAAAAAAAAGAAAAAGAATATATAACTTGTATATTTTCATATCGATGAGAAGAATATGAATAGGGTCGGCAGCTGCCCGAATTGTTTTTCTTTTTGGCGAATACGTAAATATTGTTGCGAGATTCGCGAAACACGGTCAGCTCGTCGGCCGAGCGTGCTTTGTTAATTTTGCAAACTTATTCCCATGCTAGCTGGTATATATGCGAGTAGCGCGCTTTATTAATCATTTTTGCCTCGGTGAAAAATTGAATTTTTAACATTGCAATCCTGCGAAAGCACTGTACGTTGCCAACGCCATATATATATATCTAACAGCTATATATGTATGCTGTACGTTCTCTATATTTGTGCCGTATCATCGAAGCTTTGACTTCTCCCTGCGTTCGTATGGAATCGACTTTATCGATTTATGTACTTTCGAGATTTGCAAATATCAAAAAAACATTCACTCCAAGTTAATCCGCCGAAGATTATCGAAAATTTACGGAAGCGTTTTAAAAAAATATTACGATGAATGGAGCTCTTGTTTTATTTCTTTCTCTCTCTCTTTCTCGACAAAATTTCCGAGCATGGCGAGTTAAGTAAATCAACAAAGTTGCGTATTAAATAACTGCCTTAATGAGAAGTAACTGGGTTAAATACCCCTGACAAAGTAAGTTACCAATTTATAAGAAATACAAAGTTGCTATTCTCTTATTCTCGTTTAACGACTGGTCCTCTTCCCCCTCTCCCCTCTTTCTCTCTTCGTTAAGAAAACGTAAAACGAATTTATTTTCTTTCTGAAACAATTGTACCCTATCGACGTAAGGTTACACCGGCACGAAATAATCGTTCCTCTCGACTTAATGAATTTTGATATAATCCTAACGAGATGGTGAAAAAACAAAAGAAATTTCGTTTAATATTGAATTAATTATTGTCTTTACAGTTTGTCACGGGATTCAGCAGTTCGAAGAAACACCGCAGTACACGGAAGTTAATCCCGGTCAAGATGCAAAGTTGATCTGTCGCGTGCTAGGCAAGAGGGGTCAGTGCATTTGGCAGAAGGATCAAAAGGTACGTTCACTGTCGAACTAGGATCGTTTATTCGTATAACTTACTAACTTTTGATAGGTATAAGCTTGGATTTCTATTTGTGTCGTAAAATGGATAAAACGGAATAACGAACGAGCCATTGAGTAATATTTACATCTTTATTTTTATATAGAGAGTATATCGTAAAATTGTATCGCTTAATATCACAAAAGTAATTTAAGAGGAGAGTTTTAACGATACTGACAAAAACAATTTGTAAGAGTTAAGTGAGACAAGAGGTATATATGTCAAATAAAAGGAAAAACGATAGAGTTTCTAAGAGCGTGGCTTGCAAGAAGTTTCCTAGTTCGAAGGACTTCATTGTTTCCGTGTATCACTTGGGCCTTCGAAGAAAAGCGACGCGAGCTGTAACGGTGTTGGTAACCGACTTTTCTTGCTTTTCGTTCTCCAAGGCGGTAAACTTTGCTTCAGATAAGTTTGTGTTTCTCGAAAGTGGACATTACGTGGTGACCGACGATAAACAGTCGTTTAGATCGGATTCGTAGAAAGGGAGAGAGAGTGTGTTTCATTCAACTATCTCAAACTTCCTTCAAACTCGAGTTATTGTTCTCTCCCTCCCTCTCTTTTCCCATGTGATACGCTCGTGTACGTCCACGTGCATCAAATAGACACTTAATTCGGTTACCTAACGTCCATATGGTATAGTTAAAATTTAGAGTACACGCGCGAACGCTTTTTGTTGATGAAAAACGAATATATTTCGTTAAAACGTTGACGTGCAATTTTTCTTTTTTTGGTTTTTGAAAAACACGGACAGCGTAGAAAGGATTCTGGACGTTTCGAAAAATAAAATTTAACGTCGAACTTTAAAAGCTTGATGGAAGGTACTTCGACAAGTTCCAAGCATTTGGAGAGTAGGTAGAGTATGCTATATATATGTATATCTATATCTATATATACATATATAAACAAGTATATTTTTGAGATAGAAATGACGTAATTTTATATGAGGAAAAAAAACAAAAAAATAGTCGTTAATGTTCAAAACGAAATAAAAGTATAGAGAAACGTCGTGCGTCCGCCTATGTCTATTCTAACTAGATAGGAGATGAGACGATGTAGAAATCTTAGTAACAGGATGAAACTCTTTCCATTCCTTCTGTTTCTCTCTGTATTTCGTCTTTCGTTTCTTCTTTCACACGCGTCCAAAGGAAAAAAAGGAATCAAAGGAAAGATAGAATCTCGTTCTCTCTCTCTCTCTCTCTCTCTCTCTCTCTCTCTCTCTCTCTGTGTTTCCTTCTCGCACGCGCAGACATTTGATTGGCCGCTTTATGTGCTATGCAAACCTCGCGATGTATGCCGTGCAAACGCGAGTAAGGAAAATTAAACTTGAGATTTGAGCGCCGAGCAGAATTTCCCAATTTATCTCTGGTTTATCGCTTCCACCGTAACGCGAAAGCTTCTCTACAAGAGATATCTCTTCAAAAGAGGGTAAGGAGAAAGATAAATCTGACTTTCCGTCAAAAAGAACACTAACGAACAAAAGGGGTTACGATGGTTGATACTTTTTAAAAGGTTACCTCTTGTTCTCTCTTCCCTTTTATTATAGGTAATTCGTTTAGAGAAAAGAAAAAGAAAGAAATTAATTGCGCGTTACGTCGAAACATTTTGGTAAATTTTCATAAACTCGTTCGCTCGTTGAAAATGTCGATAAACTTTCATTCCTATTTAATAAACGTTAGTAGTATCGGCGAATGTAATCGTGAATATAATTGAACGAAATATAATTTATGCGAGCCGTAACGCAGTCCATTCGCGTTAATTTGATAACTGGAAATATGGGAAACGTATTCATGGTTGACGTGTATTTAATGGATAAATATCTATTTCATTTGATATTTTTTCACGGATTTGATGATTCGCGGAAAGAACGAACGTTGCGAGACGCGAGGGCCAAAGAGGTAAAGAATAAAAAGGAAGAAGACGTAGAATCGCGATCATTGTCCAGCGCAAAGATTAAACGGTTGTCGCTGACACTCGGCTTCGTTATCGTCGTTACCATTAATCCCGCGGAAACTTTTTATTCACGGGACGAGCTTGCTCCGCTGGTATAAGGAAAGAAAAGAAAAAGAAAGGTAAAAGAAAGAGAAATAAAAGAGGAGGGTCGGCTTCCATCCCTCTTTTGACTACCTTCCGTTTTCTGCTTGTCCCCAACTTTCTCCAGCCTTTAACTCGTCCATAATCGTCTTTTCTCCGTAATTAAGTTCTTGACGGGCACACTCACGGATCTCCGCAGACTCGTCGTCGTCGTCGTCGTCGTCGTCGTCGTCGTCGTCGTCGTCGTCGTCGTCGTCGTCGTCGTCGTCGTCGTCGTCGAAAGCGGTTGAAAGGAATGCACCACAATTCGGACCGTCTTACAATGTACATGTGTCAGGGTTGCGTCAGAAAGAAGCTTGAATCAGTCGGAGTAACTGGAAAATGTCGTAAATCGTCTCGTTTCAATTTTGTTCCCTTTCCCACCTTCTCTCTTTTTCCTCATACTACTCGAAATCTTATCATTTAAGACAAATGTCTTAACGATAAGATTCGTTTGTTTTCCCTAAGTTAAATGAGATTCCTAACAGTAAGTAAAAGATCCGTCCTTCATACTTTTTCTTTTCTCTTCTGTCAACATATCTCTCGAAAAAATTTCCCTTTACGCTCTATTATCTCTAGCTCGCTATATAAATTTTGTTTTATTATGAAGAAAACGTTAAAAGGGTATGTACGTTATCGTAGTACCATACCTTAGAGAATCGCTTTGATTTATGTTTCTTTATCTTTTTACTTCTTTTTCGATCCCGTGAAGCACGAATAAAAGGACCGACAACGAAGTCTAGGCCACGAAGAATTTTTCTTTACTCGCAACGCGCATGATTACCGTCAAATTTCTATGCAAGCTGCGAATTGAAAGCTTATTTTACCAAGTTTTAAGGAAGAAGCTATTAACGTTGGACGACCGTCGCTTATATCGCATAAATCCGCGAGGATTTAAAACGAAAGTCAAAGAAATAAATTGAAAACTTTTTCCCAAGTAAGTTGTACGCGTAACGAATAATGTTTTACTAACAATAAGAATTATTAAAGATGTATTTAACAGAAAGGCCTTCAACGTTAGGACCAATCCTTTCGTTTAAGCTTTTCCCACCGGTTATTTCTTTCCCGTTATTATATTCTAAATTTCTTCCGTTAACTTTGTATCTGTGGATTTCTTACTTTCTTTTGAAAAGGTTTCTAACTTTGACACGGCGTTTATACAAAGTATAAAGTCGCGCGCGGAGATGAAGAAGGAAGGAAGGAAGGAAGGAAGGAAGGATCTAAAGATGACGAATGTAGAGGAAAAGGAAGAGATACGAGTAACGGGGGCGAATATGCTGAAAACGTAGCACTAAATTGAAGTCGTTACGACGCCTCGGCTGAAAAAACTTGCCAGCCAGGCGTAAAAAGCCGAGCTCTATGAAGAAACATCTACGAGTGTAGAAAAGGTGGGAGGGAGGGAAGAAGGAAAGAAGGAAGGAAGGAAGGAAGGAAGAAAGAAAGAAAGGAAGAAAGAAAGAAAGAAGGTCGCAGCAGCAGTCTACTACTTGGTTGCTTTGAACGTTGAACAGGGCCGAGTTTACGGACGCGAAAAAATCTTTTGACCGTACACGAGACAAGTTTAATGCAGTACCCTTCTACGCGGTACTTGCATTCGTGATATTTTTCTCATAGCTTAAGCATTAACTCGAGTGCAGGTTCAAATCGTAGGTCATTATTTTTCTATATTTTTTCTTGTACGTCTGTAATGTTTCCTCGCGATATCTACGTGCGTATATAATGGACATTTACTTTGGATATATCGTTTGTCTGCTCCCTTGCTTGATTTGGCCTTCGACAAAAGATTTTCAATAAAAAATTCTCACGTGAGTATAGTCGGGATGAAACCGCAAGTAGAAACATAAAGCCATTTTTCGAGGAGGAACAACCAAAAGAGGGTTTATGGAGCCTCCGGCAAAGTGGATGGATAAATGACAACGATCGCCGGAGCGTCGGAAGTACCGACTCTCTCTCTCTCTCTCGGTCCTTTAGAAATTTATCATTTAATCTTTTTGCAATGTACTCGTCATACTACGACCACGATATGAGAGAGACTACTTCTTTGAAAGGTGGGAGAGCCAACGTTAAGTAAATAGGATTTTCGAGTGGCCTAATGCTCGCCGGCGGTGACTCACATGCATCTCACTGACTCTTTCTCTGTATGCGCTCAGCAGCGGTTCTACCTATATGCGCGTATGCGTTGACGCACGCGAAGGACGAAACAGCACGGAAAGAGAGAAAGAGAGAGAGACGAAGCGGACCCGTTGCGTGCATTAATTTGCATATTAATTCTCTCTAGTAATCCGCTTTAATGACATCTGGATTAGAGAAAATGTCAACGCGGATATACCGTTGCGGTTTTCCCGAGCGGTTTGACTATATATCCGCATATATTTCTCTTCTCTCTCTCTCTCTCTCTCTCTCTCTCTCTCTCTCTCTCTCTCTCTCTCTTTCTCTCTCGAGTCCTTCTCGCGCATAAATTGTAAATATCCTCCGTTCGTGACACGACGGAGCCAATGGCAGCCAACGGAGCGTCTCTTGCCACGACGAAATATGACTTGGAAGCAACGAAACGTACTTTGGTGCACAAGGGTAGGACGGAATTATTTTTCTCTCTCTTCATTTCTTTCTCTCTCTCTTCCTCTCACGCTCTCTCATCCGCAGATCCATCTCCATTATCGGTTCGCGTCTTCGGCAGGCCGCCCATACCCGCTCGATATTCAACAAGACAGATTTTTCATTAAGATTTATGTACCGCTGAGTATATGGCCAAATCATTTTTCAGCTTCTCCTTATTTTTTCTCTACCCCCTCCCTTCCTCTTCCTCGCTTTTCCCTCCTGTTCGCTTCGCTTTGTATCTGCAAAGTACATTGGCGACAGACGCTGTTTGACACTCGACGCGTCACGAGTCGCTCGAGACGGAACTTGTCTTCGACGTTTAACGCGTCCAAGTAAAATAGGTACTGTAAAAAAAAGAAAAAAAAGAAAAAGAAGAAAAATGGAAACGTAGAAACGTAGGTTTTCTCATCTCGTAACAACGGCAAACGTCGTTTCGCGCGCAATCCGAAAGGAAAATTAATTATAAGAACGACAAAAAAAAAAAAAAAACGAAACGTCGTCAGGTAGGTATACGATTTTTACGGTTCGTAAACTTTCTCCCCAACGTCCGTTTGACCTTTATATCTTATAGAAGGTGGCCATTTCCGCGTGTCGTCCGTACATTGGAAACTCGCATAAATTTTTTCCGTACCGTTGGGACCAAGGAAAATAAAAAAGGGAAAATATCGAGATTGTCCGTTGAATTATTTCCATTGGTACGAGCAATTTTTATTAGAGAACGATTATTAGAGACGTTCATTTGAAAAAAAATTTCTTACATATTAGATGTATATATACGCATAACTTAATCGATATTTAAAAGAAAGTCGTTCGAGAAAATCGAGCATAAAACGATTGAACTAGAGAAATCTAAGGAGTCCTTTTATTCGAACTTTACTGAAAATTTTCAACGAATCCGTCTTCTATCGGTGAGTACAACAATGCAAATATCATTGGATAGTGAGTTCCGCTCTCGAGACTCGATAGGATCGAAGAGAAAGGGCAATATCGTATTACCATCTCGGGCATCCAGACGAGGAAGGCTTTTCGCAGTGGATGATTCTGAAACGAGATCGGCTTCGAAAGCCTCAAGATTTATGCTACCCACGATCTCTCGTTATTTCTTTGGCCGAGCGTATTCTCTCTATTTCTCTTTTCTCTTTTCCCTTTCTTTTTTCTTTTCTCAACGATAATGAATATTCATAAAAGATACAAATAATTAACGAGACAATTCTAAAGAATTGACGAAAGATGGATTAGACGCGTCCCGGTAACGTATTAAATTTGATCAATTTCCGAGAACGGTGGATATTCTCTAACGAGAGATCCAAGGTTTCTCTAACGAATAAGACGAGCACGAGTCGACGTGCCTTTATTTCGTCGTAGTTCGAGAGGAGATCCAAAGCGTAATCTTTACGCTTTATATTCGGTTCACGTGCTTTCATCTTGTAGGCGGACTCGGGGAGATCTTCAAAACTAGAATGCCAAGTAGAAGTTTCAACATTTCGACGAGGCTTTGGAAGAATGTCTCTCTGTAGAACAGGGATTTCTCTTATCGAGTCCTATTCCTTTATTCCTCTTGGCATTAGCGGCCTTGCAATTTCATCACGTCATATCGATTATAAAGTCGAACGGGATCGATTTTAGCGATAGGGTCAACATAGAGAGAGAGAGAGAGAGAGAGAGAGAGAGAGCGCGTAAGACAATTTCGATGAAAAAACGTTTAAATCACTGTTGTCCAAAAGTTATGTAACTTTTCCTTCTTAAAATTGCAGATTCAGGCAAGCGGCTAAATAAATGATTCTACGTAGGTACGTGGACAAAAATTTCGCACAACTTATAATCTTTTTCAAACGCCGCTCGCATATAAATTGATAAATATCTTTTATCTTATTAGTATAATGTACCGATCCAAGATTTTGTCTTTTTTCGCGAGAAAACGTGTAACGAACACCACGAGCACTTTACGAAAGAGCAGAGGGAGCTCTCTCTCTCTCTCTCTCTCTCTCTCTCTCTCTCTCTCTCTCTCTCTCTCTCTCTCTCAAAGAAGCTCTCTTAGAAAAGCTCTCTCGGAGAACAGAGCGAATAACTTTAGGAAGACGGACGTATGTGGGGTCGTTCTCAATGGATTACGAAAAAGCATTCCTTCCACTTTGCTACGTTTGCGTGCTTCGTCTTTCGCCCATGAAGGCTCCTCGTAAAAGGAACTATGTCCTCTGTCTTTTACCGTCTCCATTCCGATTAGTTACCTTTCGCTATTCTCCTACGTGTCTACATTTTCGCTTATACCTCTCCGTACAAATTTTTTATAATCTCTAAGCTCACTGAACTTTGCCGTTTCTCCGAGATCGACTAAGCCATTAGAATAATTATACTCTCTGAAGGATTTTCACTCTGAAAGTCGCTACTACTCTAGTCGAGCAACCTCGAATCTTATCGAACTAGATTTTCACGAGTACGAATGTAGCGAGAAGATAGCGTCGAGAATTTAAAACTTTACGACTCGACGCGGTTCGCGAACTTGCCGAAGGTACTCCATTTGGTTTCCAATCGAAGAAAAAGAGAGATGGTGAGAGCTGAAAGAGGAAAAGGGTGCGAGACAAAGTTCAAACTATCGATCTAAGTCGTGCGATCTATTTCGTTGGCTCTCGAAGAGATTGCTACTGCGTTTGCATTACTTGGTTTCGCGTTATCAGGGTTAAAGGTCCGGAGAGAGAGAGAGGGGGGGAGAAGCATGCATCCTGGACGTTTGCTTCTCCAGTCGTTTTCCGTATTCCCTCGTTCACCATAGCTCTCTCTCTCTCTCTCTCTCTCTCACTTTCTAACTTACTCCATCTCGTCGATGTGTGTGGATGCGTGCTATGTGATTGTGGAGAGAAAGCGCATGTAGTGGTGAGAAAACCAGTGGGGTGTGTCTGCGGGTGCATTACGCTGATTGCTGGTCGTGGCCTCTCTAGAGAACGAAGAGGAACGAGTGAGCAAGCGAACAAGCGCGAGAGAGAGAGACAGAGAGAAATAGAGGAAGTCGAAGGAAGCAAGAGGATAGAGAAAACGCCACGAAAAGCGACGAGTACGAGTAAGAAAGAGAATAAGGGCCCTTCCTGTTAAGTAAGTGAACGATCGTACTTGCCCTTTCCTTCTTCCCTCTTTCCCTTCCTCCCCCCTCTCTCTATTTCTCTCTTTATCTCTCGCTTCGTCTCACGTAAAAGCGTGCCCGGATTTTAATCCTTTAAATGAATGACTGTGACTTCCCTGCTCTCGACTTCCTCATCTACGTCGAGCTAGGCGAAAGAAAAAGAACGAGAGAGAGAGAGAGAGAGAGAGAGAGAGAGAGAGAAAGGGATAGTAACATTTGCGATGCACCGAGCGTACCTCTTATGGACGCTATACCGATTTCTCTATTGTCAACTCTCGGCGAAGCGTTGTACGCGTACGAATTCTCTTACGAATTGATGATCGTCGTCCGAAACATTAGAATGAATTCGATGAAGGGGAAAAGCTACGCTTACTACTGCGCGAAGGAGTCAAACAAACACTCGAATAACTCGCGTTTCGTAATTTTGCTAGAGAGTTCGATGCACTTTGCTCTCGACGTCGATGATGCCGTATCGTACTCTTTTATATAGCAAGTATAAAAATGCTAATGTAAACATATATAACCTAGCAAGCAGGTAAGTGATCCCGTTCGAACCGTCGAGCATCTAGGGGAAAAGCAACTCATTATTCTCGTCCTGAGAGTGCCCCTTCTTCATCTGCGCGCAAATAATCATCACGAGGATTTCCCATTGTATTATTGTGTCTGCCGACGAGTGATAAACCGTACGCTCCGTAGGGAACTCTACGTCGTCGTTGTCGTCGTACCGACATGATGGAATCCGACAATAACCGAGCTTTTTACTTCCAACATTCTGCCAATCCTTTTCTCTTCGTTAAAAGTTACTCATACGACTAAATCTAAACAAAAATCTTTATTATATCTCGGATAAATATTGCAGAGAGGAAAAAATATTGAGGCTTTAAAAATCTATAGAAATTTTCTGATTAAAGTTTCGTCCTTAAAACGATATATATACATAATGTCTCTGATGGAGTTTCATCACGGAATGAACGTATTTTAAAGCCATCATCTCGATATCGAGAACCACTCGCTCATCGATCTCTCGCTCGTTCTTTACCCGCAAAAAGTTGTCGAATTTAGAGGGGTTCTATCCGACATGACACGGTCACGACGAGAACGTAAACGCAAGCGGCTTATGTGTATATCCTCTCGATAACTCGTCGAGCATATAGGTAGAGAGGAAGCGACGAGTCCGATTATATGGGAACTCGGCAAAATTGATCCTTGAATTACGGCCACATTATGACTACGAAACTTGCTAAGGCCGCACTTTCCTACTTCGAAGCGAATTAATCTGCGAGAAAGAAGAGGGTTAGTGGAAGAGACGAGAGAGAGAGGTGGGGTAGAACCAATGATTCATTTTGAGGAAAATGCGTTGCTATCAACGGGACGAGAGAGAGAGTGTGTCCCAGAGAATTCTGGTTACGCTTAATGATCAACGAACGCTACTTCTCGTCGATTACAACGAAGATACTTCCCTTGTTAAATGCTGACGGCGCACCAGTTACCACTTCTCTCCGAAATATATTATTCCTGATAACGTAAACGTACGGTAATAACGCGACAATGTACGACGCGGTTTTTGCTCGACTTTACCAATGGCGTATAGTCTCTGGCGATGTTTTTCGTGCGAAAACCCACACGGATTTCCGAATGTAACTCTTTAGTAAAAGCTGAATTTATGATGCGCTCTCCCCCCCGCCCCCTAACTCTTTCATTTATTCCCTCGGTTATTCTTTTTTTTTTCTACGTTACGTTGGTTCGATCGAAACATTGAAATTGATGGATCGTTGGCGAGAAAAAGCGATTGATGAGAGTTGTATTTACTCATCGTACTGGTATTGTTTGTCGAAAAAGAATATATTTCCAGATAAGATAAACAGGTATCTTGGGAAATGAAATGCTGACATTGATGAAAAAATCGATCCGTCGAGTGTCATAAGGATCGTAACGTTTTAAAGTTTTATACTCGTACGTGTTCCCAGCCAATCGGAATGCACCTGAAGAAGTACGAGTGGGTGGGCTCACCGGACATGGGAGACTGCTCGCTTTGGGTCAGGTCAGCCACCTTGGAATTCGACGATGGTTTGTGGCAATGCCAAGTCACTGCCAGTGATTTCACGACGCAAGACGCTTTAGCATCGGATCAAGCTAGGCTGGTTGTCAGGGGTAAGTTTCCTTTTAGAGAATAATACGAAAATAAAGTTCGAAGGAAAGAAAAGGCATGATCGATTTTAACCGAGGAACGATCAACTAAGCGCACGCACTTCCTAGGGTCATAAATCAGAGTCCGATGCAGCTCGATCGAGGATCGATTTAGATGAATTTTTTAATTCCAGCTAAATAATGCCCGAGGAAATTTCAAATGCGCTGCCCCTTGATCTAAGCTAATATTTGCGAAATAAATGAAACGCTGAAAATTTTCATTTAATTGCCGAAGTACTGATTAAATCCGTGCTGATTTTTATGTCGTTCGGAAAAACAAATCGTTATAAGTATGTAAACTTTCATTGATTGCTTTTATCGACGATATTATTTCTCTCCGAAAAATAACAATCCATTTTATAACGTGCATGGTGAAACAATAACTCGTTACGTCCGGTCGGTCGACGTTGATTGGAATTAACGATTTAACAAACGTAATTATAAGCTCGCAAATAATTCCGTTGATGTTTTTTTTTTCTTACGAAACAATTTGCCAACGAAACGTAGCTGTCTGAGAAAATCATATTCTGAATATGATATTCTCAATAAAAATGTATCCAAAACAACATCGTACTTGAAACGAACGTTCGCATTCTCTCTCTCTCTCTCTCTCTCTCTCTCTAACGCGAGAACGATCAAGAGCAAAGTGGATAAACATAACGTAATAATAACAAGGCAACGTACAATATCCGTGCCACATGAACGAGCAGTAGGTACGAGTGAGATAGAGAGAGAGAGAGAGAGAGAAGAGAGATTGAGAGCGATAGGCGAACGGATATTCTGCATGCTGCGCAGAGAACAGATATGGTGCATTCGCATGCACGTACGCACGCACGCACGCACTCACTCACGTACGCATATAACTATCCACAGGAATCTAGCCACGTACGGCGAATTAATCCGCGCTAATTTTCTCGTTCCAGTCAGCCCTCGGCGACCGCAGATAGAGTACGACAACCATCCTATTTTACCTGGCAGCAACGTGACAGCCCGAGCAGGTGAGATCGCTACGCTCACTTGCAGAGCGCGGTATGGGAATCCTCCGCCTCTAATTAAATGGTTCGTAATTGTTGCACGTAGATTTCATATTACTTAATTCGTTACAATCGATCTCTCGGTCTTCCCTTCCTCGCTCCCTTTTTCTCTCTCTCTAACTGTTATTCTTTATCAGTTTCTTTTCCCTTGGTTTCTTCTGTCTCATTAAACATCATTTTTGACTTTACTCGCATGTACTTATATCGTTTTTAATTATCGTTGACGTCGATATGCTTTTTTCACTTTTCTCAGCCCCGTTAAATTATTTCCGATTACAATAACGGCGTACAGAAATAATATTTTTTTTTTTTAAAAAAAGAAGTCCGATTAAACCGTTGCCATCAATTCTTTTCTCTCTCTCTCTCTCTCTCTCTCTCTCTCTCTCTCTCTCTTTCTCTTCTCGCTTGTCAATTTTCCCTTCGAGAAAATTCTGCGACGTAATGCATCGAGAATCTCGTCGATGCCAGTGCACGCTCTTCATGAATAATCATGATCCATTCTGCATCGTATCTGGCCGAAGTTAAGGAGCTCGAAGGTGCATCCAGTCTTTGTACATGTTCTCCCTCTCTCTCTCTCTCTCTCTATAGGGGAGAAGGCTTACATCTACATCTGTGTGAACGGGCAAAGATATTTATTCGTTCGTTGCTTCAGAACGATCGCAAATGGTCTATCAAAAATTTACGTTGCTCGATTTTAGAGCAATATATTTCATCGAATAAAAGATAAAAAGAATCAAAGATAAAAAAGGAAGAAAAAAGGGGGTGTTCAATCGTGATATATATATATATTTTTTTTTTATATAGATAAATAACATTTCTCTAGATAAGCCAGACGTATTTGATTAAATCGAGGATCGTCGATTCCTGTTACAAATTCAATACCAGATTCCTAGACGAGATAGCTGTCTTGCCAGCTCCTCTCACTCTGGGAATTAGCTTAATTGACATGGCTGCATACGTGCAATGTCCAGGATGTGTGTATGCGTTAATATAATTAACACGAAGAGAGAGAGAGAGAGAGAGAGAGAGAGAGAGAGAATTGAAATTCAATTTAAATTTTGACGCACATTAAAAGATTAAAAAGCTAGCTTAGAATAACGTACATATATAACCGTATCGAAAGTTCCTTATGGTTGTGTTACCGTTCGAAACACTTTGGATCTCGAGAGAGCTTTCCAAGAAGAGATAAACGCAGAGAGGTTATTCATAGTCGACATACCGAGATACTGAGAAAAAAAAGAAGCAAGAGTAGTGACATGCCTATAAAGCGTGAGGGTGAGAAAGAAAGGAGAGAGAGAGAGAGAGAGAGGGAGGGAGCGTGCGATCGTCGGATCGTACCCTCGCGCAGTGTTGTTACAGAACGTCATTGGAAATGCAAATTTTCGGGGAAAATGCGCGTAGGTACGTCGGCGAGACGGAGATCAGGACGCTGAGGCCTCAGGTAAACTCGACGGAACTAGATAATCCCCGTACTTGGGAGACCTACAGTGTTTGCGAGATTTTGGCGGAGCGGTCACGTTACGGAGCGCCGATCCGATGCGTCGCCATTCATCCTGCTTACGCCAATCCCACCATGTCCTCCAGCACCGAAGTGAGATTCGACGTTAAATGTGAGTATACCTTATTTCTCTAGAATCCATATCGTCGTAGGTAGGATATCTATTCTCTTCGTAGATTAATCTAAAATAAACGTCTCAAGATCGTTGCCTTTATTCTTGTTTGCACATCCGAATCGGTAGCATTGCCCCCCCATCCCAGCAATTCTCTTCGCATTAACGTTGATCTACGTGTAACCTTCGAAATAGCCCCAAATGCGTTAACGTCAGCCAGGGTGGAAAGCAGTCAGATTTCGGAATCACTCGAGCGTAAAACGTTCCCCTGTTGCGCTTTACGTCTCCGTGGAATGAATGTAAATTTTAGCATAATCGTAAATCACGTTAACAGGGTGTGCCGTTGAAGAACGAATATGGGGACAATGCCGTCGTTCGTTGGTAAATGGATAAAGCGAAAAGGGGGTTAATCTTGTTAAACGAAAGAAAACGAAAGATCGGTAGGATTAAATTCGTCGTTCTTTCCTTTCTCTAGGATTTTCTTCGATTTCTTTTTCAAATATTACGTATAATCCTTTAGATACGTTGAATAATATACGCGTATTTCAAGTCAATCCAAATATAGTCACGATCGAATTTAGATCGATACCGATCGTAACTCGATGATATTTGCCCCTATATTTTTTTTTTCTTTATCGCACTCTCCGATCGGGCTCATAAAATGACAATTAAGTATCGATGAAAGGAGAAAATATTTTCGCATCCTTTTTATTAGGAAATTATTAGGAATGAATATAAGGTAGGACCGAACAAAATAGGATTTCTTCGAAACATGCAATTCTCAGGGACGTACTTTAATTAGTTCGTTTATACAACGAAATCGGACTAGACCAAAAGAAAAATATACATTTTTCGTATAGATTTCGTAATTCGTACGCGCTTGGCCGCGTTTATTTTAAATGCGATGAAGTCTTAGAAATAATGTGCACCGTGGTCAGCGGCGCGAGATTAAGCTCGGGGTTTTTTATCTTTCTCTATCTCCCTTTTCAATTTTTCCTTCTTTTCTATACGACCACGGCAGCCATAGAGAATGCATAATGAAGGAAAAAGAGGAAAGAAGGAGGAGGAAGTACGTGACGTATGCAGTAGCTTCGTTCTCATCGTCAGCACGACAACGTGCGTCATGCTTTCTTGGCCTTTGGTATTATAATACATATGTATAATGGAACTCGAAATGCTGCCACGCGCAACGAGAAAAATCTTCTCCCTTTTTCCTCCCCATCAAAGCGCGCGCGCGAATTTTAGCCGCGTCATCGAAATCGTTGTTCTCTTTCTTTCGCGACTAATCGGCAGGAATCGATTCCAATGCAAAGTCGAACAATCGAGCCGCTATTAATTCGTTTTAGATGACCTCCGTTCCAAATTCTCCAAGTCAAGCGAATCGACATTTTCTTCTTTAAAAAGAACTAAGCGATCTCCAATTACTTCGCATGGGTCGTAAAAAAAGATTCGGCCGATCTCGCAGTTTTTCGATCGCAATCCATTCCGCTGTTTGAAATTCTTCCGTAGATATAAAAAAGATCCTCAACGTTTTGACAACGGAACAAGAGAAAATTCGACTTATCTCGCCATAACTCGAGCTATAGTATAAGTACATCTATATGTACGCGAGGAGGAAGGCTACGTACGCTTATATTGATTACGAGCATTAGCCGAGCGGGACTTTTTAGAGCAAATTGAAAAGTTTGCCTCAAAGCACAGATATATTCCGTGCCGATGGTACTTCGATCGAGAATTCAACGAGTATAGGTATTTGTATGCACGGGCGCGGGCGCGGGCAAGGCCGCTTATATGTGTCGCGTGTCTCTCGTCACCCACAGCGTCATTTCAGGTGCTCACCGAGCGAGTGTCAGAGTTAGAGGGAGATGGAGAAAGGGAGAAAAAGTGTAAAAACGCGAGAGAGAAGGAAGGGAAAGGATGCAGCTGATTCGAATGGGTCAGCGGGTGTTCATTCGCGCGTATTTCTGGCTAGTCGTTCTTTGTCGATGCTTCAAACGACTTTACACCGCTATACTATACGTAGTAAACTTACGATACATATATGGGCGAAACGAAGAACCGTGAGAATGGACGGTTTTCTATCGAGGAAAAGCAATAATACCGTGAGCTACGATTAGTTCGTGTAAAACGAATCTTCGCTCTGCCGATCAAAATCATTTTGCTACCAAGAGAAAAAGCGATATGATGTATCTCGATTAAGTCCTCTTTTATTATTTTACTTTTCTCACTTAATTTTATACTTTTCCTTTGACATTTACATCATGCATAGGATATAATAGAATATATTATAAACTCTGCGTGGTCTTAATAAAATATCTTTCGAGCCTTTTGATTAATCGATGAAATCTAAGTGATGAATTCAACGTGAAACAGTATCGCGGTGAATTTTATTCCGTTTTCCGTCGTAGTTAAAGAAAACGAATCGATTATTCATGTATTCCTTTCATTTCAATAACGTCTTCGATTCCGACGTATCGAAAATTTATTCGATGGATTTTCTTATGCAAGAAATTGTGTATCGCTTCGAAAAACAACGCGGGACCCGTTCCAGTGGATTTCAGCTAAGAATTTGCCTGTTAGATTAAAAAAGATATTAAGTTATAATTGTCTAGCGGGGAGTCTTTGACATTCGGAAATCATTTATACTTCCGGTGCTGGTCAGCACACTAGAACCTCTCGATGTGTATGCCGTGGGTGCAGTTTTCGAGATCGCATCTGGGGCGAAAAACTTCAGCAAGCTTTCACTCGTCCATATTTCGTAGTCGTTCTTGAGTAAACTTTGAATCGGTCGGTATGGTAATAGCGTTTTAGTTTCCGAGATTTTTCACGGTAGCTACGATTGAATAAAAGATTTTTCGATCGATCGATACTTCGTTACCGAAACAACGTTGTGAAACAACGCAACGCGTTTAAATAAATTTCCCTACTAACCTTTACGGCGGAAATAACGAAATCAATTCTGATTATTTTATCTTCATATTTTCCTAATGCACATTTCTACGATTTCTCTCTGGAATTTGTTAAAAATCAAATATCGATATATTATAATTAAAAATGGCCATGAGAGAAAACTTTTTTATCTTATGAATCATAATCATTCTGTCGCGAATGCGACAGGCGCGCATATACGTATTCGAACGAACGCACGAGAGTCAATGTACGAGAATACGTTTATGGACCATGGCTATGGTAAAAGAGGAAGGAGGTTAATAGAGAGAGAGAGAGAGAGAGAGAAAGAGAAGCGGAGAGAGAACGCAGCAGAAATTGTGAATGGGTCAGCGGGTGTCCATTCGCGCGTATTTCGAAATCATTGTTACGTGAAATGAACAGCTGCGTGGTAGGTATGCGCATCCAAATGAAAATCGTGATTCGATTTTTATATCTCTTATTTTTTATCTTTTCCTCGATCTCTCTTTGAAAATTTTTGCAAACTTTTAAAGAATCAATTAATAATAGTTGTATCCTTCTCGACGACGTAAATACCTACCCTAGTAAGTACCCGGACGTACACCTATATTATAAGGATCCTTAGACGAAGCAAGGAACGGACATCTTTCATTTCCGGTTTGACCGAGACTCTCGCGAACCCGTCAGAGCGTATATCTGGGACGATGACGTTTCTCCCAGAAGTCGGTCACAAGTTTCATTAACGCGTTTGCCTGACCGATCGGAAATTGTAATCGTCGCCGCGAATAATGGAGCGATTGGGAACGCGATGCTTTGTATCTCTATTAAAATACCAAGCTTCACTAAAACAGGAACGAAAGAAGCTCGCTCGTCTATCGATTAATGTCACAGTCGTGGCAGGTCGCGTTAAAAGGGGATGATATCGTTGATACATCTTGTTTTATCAAACAATTTTCTTATGCATTGTTATCAATTTGATCGTTAAGAATACTCTTCCCTTCTTAAATTTGTGTTCCTTATATAAAAACAGTTGGACTAATGAAACTTGTTGTTTATTTAGACGCACCGGAAACACGATTGGTGGGCGTGCCAAACGGTCAGTTGGAAGAAGGACGAGATAAATTAGAAATAAGGTGTCTGGCCGATGCAAATCCACCGGCTTCGATAATTTGGAGGCGTACGAAGAGTCTTAGCGTCACCGATATCGCCAGCATCGGGGAGACTCTTTTGTTCTCGCCAGTTTATAGAAACCATGCGGCCGAGTACATCTGCGAAGCAACCAACACTGAGGGTGAAAGTAGCCCTGTCAGGGTACAAGTGTCCGTAAATTGTGAGCACGTTTTCTCGTTATTCTTTTCTTCTTTTCCTTCTTTTTCTACAAAAATAGCTGGATAAATAAAAGTAGAAAGAAAAATGACTAACTACTAGGCATCGATCGTTCTTACTCGGGACGTTATTAATGGCGAAACTTAATCAACCGCACTCGTACCGTCGCTTACGTTCGTTTCCTTTACGATAACGCGGCGGCGGCGGCGGTGGCGGCGGCGGCATCTTCCACGAGGAAGCTCTTGAGTGGTTCGCGCTATAACCTTCGAAAGTAAATAATGTTCGCCATTTTGGTACATAAAGGAGAGAGCTTATTGTGCTTTATAAACGAGAAGGAGCTCCACTGAATTACGCTACCATCTTTTTACTTCGTATCTCTTTCGCTATTACCTTACAATTTTTATTTTTCACGTATTTATATACCACGCCTTAATAGTCCTTTCCTTATCTAATGTTTAAACAAAACTACTAATGGAGTCCGTTGGATTCGGGGAGATGTTTTAAAAGCACGATTCGTGGTCTCTCAAATGCAAACGGTGTAGACCGTTTGCCGTGACAACGAGCATCGTATGCTCGAGAGAACGGCGCTTGTTTTGTTACTCATGAATAAGATATCAAAGGATCGATCGCTTTCGACGCAGATCCACCGACTATCAGCTCGGTCGGCCCGGAATGGTTGACTACGGCACTGCTTTATTCCGGTGCATCGTTCGAGTGTCACGCCGACGCAATGCCACCGGCTGAATACAGGTGAGACTACGTATGATTTATGTTAATTAGCTCTCTCTCTCTCTCTCTCTCCTCTCTCTCTCTCTCTCTAATCGCTCCTTTCGCGACTTACTATGTTCGCCTGCTTTTCTTTTTTGTTTTTGATCGAATAAGACGATTCTAGATCGATGATAGATTTAAATCGATGACACATACATTTTTTGAATTTAGATGGGCCCAAATCTTCCCCGACAATCGAATGCCAATAGAATGTGGAACCGGTCAAAGATTGATCCTCACGAACGTGACTTACGAGCAACAAGGCCAGTACATATGTCTAGCCTCGAACAAGATCAATGGACACGTCAGGGAGGTTAAAAGCGACCCAGTGTCTTTGCAAGTGGTTGGTGCACCCAGGGTAAGATATATACGCACGCAGCAGAAGTACACGTTGATGTTGCCCCGTTGCACCGAGGGGACTATCAATTCTAATTTCACCGAAGCGTGTACCCTCAAGGTCTGGTAGAAAATGACTGTATCGTGTGACGTATCGATCCTACGTGACATGCATCGAAGCAAAAGGTTTCGCATAAAATAAGTTCGATAGTTTTCTTTTTCCCAATTAACCATTAAAATACCCTATTAATACCCCGAGACTCGAACGACAGATTAAAGGAGAAAAGAAAACTGGCTAGTTAGATTATACTTTCTATTGCTAAATTCATCGGACATTCGCATGCAGTCAACTTTATACGGATCGCTGCCTAGGCAAAGCTTCGATTTCCGCTTCATTTAATATTCAATCGATGCGTTGCAACGCTAAAATTCAACAGGGTCAGTCATACATATAAACCTATATTTCATTCAAACCAATTCCGCTCGTTTTTCTTTCTTTTTTTCTTCTCTCTCTCTCTCTCTCTCTCTCTCTCTCTCTCTCTCTCTCTCTTATTTTTACGTTTCCCTGTTTTTTTCTTCCATTTTTCGAGTTGCCTCTCTGAATACCAATGTGAAACTAAATAAGACAACGATATTACGTACGTGCGTAGGCAGTAATGGCGATCGTACTAATTACAGTAAGAAAAATAACTAGGGTCGACGCAAGAGTAAATTTTCTTTAGGGAAATTTAAAAACGCCAAGGAATGCCGTTTATATCTATCTATACGTTTAACGAACGATTCGGTCGACGCAAGTCGAGAAACGCACCTCGTTCTCCTTCCGCCTGGTTTGCTATCTCGACATTCGAATATCGGAAATTTGAAAAGCACTTTACGTTCGATCGTCTCGTAGGTGGTGAAGCCAGCGATCACGGAGAAGTTCGTCGTAGCAGCGACGGAAGGCAGCCCGGCGAGATTAGAGATCAGACTCTGTTCCAATCCAAAGCCTCGTCTCGTTGCATGGGAATGGGGCGACATCAGACTCTACGCCGGTTAGACAGCTTTCTACTTCGATCTACCCTCTTTTCAATTATTCCAATCTTTCGTTTGCCTAATTTCTTTTTTTACCTAATGTACCGTATATCACGTATTATCTATTTCTTCTCGTTTCAGTCTTCGTTTATTATTGAACTTTTTAAAGAATCGTCTTTTCTTGATAATATTTATTATAATCGTTTCTTGCGTTTAAAGTTTAACGCTTATTATTTCGATTATAAATCGGCGGTCCGTATCCAAAATATATCCTACCTGACCGAGCCAGAGCTGGGTAAAATGTTCAACGCACAATCGTACGTACATTATTTTAGCCAGAATTGGTCGGTAAATTTTGTTCCTGAGATTTATTTTCTCAAACATTTGATTTCCCATTGATGCGCGCGATACGTTTTATCCACAGGCGAGGTTTTAGAAGCTCGTTATCGTGCTCTGGATTTAGAGCCACTGACGTCCGAAGACTGTTACGTAGCGATTTTGGAACTTACCAGTACGGTTAAGGAGGATCAAAGACTATATCATGTTATCGTAGAGAATGATCGTGGAAGCGACCGCAGAGCTTTAATGTTAAGGGTCGACGAACCAGGCCAGGTAATTATTATTCACGGTACGTTGTTAATTCTCGAATATGTGACACATATTAATTCAGACTTTTGCCAAAAGTCAATTTATTTTGGCAAAAGTCATTTATTACGTACGATTAATTGTTATTAAATCGCGAACCATCGAAGAACAAAGACGTTCCTCGATCGTTCGTCGAACGAAAGAAAGGTCGCTTTAACGTATTTTCAATCCTTCCTTTGCGATTAATGCAACTACCTTTTCAATACTTTTTCGTAAAGGTAAAAAAGAAAAGAACGTAGTTGTGAACGTAGACAACGCTTTGCACCTTGAACATTTTCTATGATTCAGATTCCACTCGTTATCGGAGCCGTCGCGGGTTTCACCGTGCTCTCGGTATTGATAATGGGATTCGTTTGTTTCCTACGATCCGATAGATGTTGCACAGCCAGAAATACAGCTCCGGCGTTGCAGCAAGTACATTGGTAAGCACGTTACATTTCCTTGCGTTGTACGCAAAACGTATGCGGAAACGTACGAGCGAGAAATTTTAATGAAAATTGTATCGAATGGCAAAGATATACATGCGTCTCTACGCGCGATATACTCTATTACAAGTTGCATATCTCATTCATGAATGTACGTTTTCGATCACGTGAAATATATAACTATGATTAAGTTTACTCGTTTTAACATATTTTAACATATTAAATGAAATATCGTGCATCAATCAGAAATTGAAGGAGACAAGACTAAAGGTATTATAAGGTTACCATTAAGATTACTATAACTCGTTCCGCATTGTAAATATTCGAAGATAAAATTTATGTAACGTTAGTTATTTTTTAGATCTTTTATTAAAATATCTATATGTTATGTATCGTTTAACCGATCGAATTTTCTCCAACTTTTAGTACCAAAGCTTCCAACACCCTAATAGAGGATCCGCGTTTGACCGTCGATACGATGGAACGCACGGGTCAGCAATTTGTTCCCGAGAAACGAGCCAATCACGTTCTGAAGCCCGTCCCGTCGCAGCAATATCCGCAAGAGTGCTACCAGCACGATCCGCAACATCCTCAACAACATTATGAGAGGCATCGCCATCACATGCAACCACATGGACCACAGTACTTACAGGTCAGAGCGAGTTGCACGAATATAAGACATAACAAAATTAATTATAGTACGATCGGTGGCAGAGCAACTACTTAGTCGTTGTCGATGGAACAACACCAAAACATACCATTCAAAATGACGTTTTGCATCTATTCGACGGCAAATTCTCGTTACAAGGGAGATTTTAAGTGTACGAACAACGATCGAGAAATACGAATGTCTATGAAAGTTCCGTGTGTCTGCTTTAGAAATGCGTGCGGAATATCTTGAAAATCCTGTTGGAAACCGAAGAGAGCTAATTTCCGTCGAACGAACAAATAGAAAAAATCCATTTATATGTTATTGCAAAATAATTTTTTTTATCTTTGTTCGTACAAAATGACGTAACTATTCCCTGTGTTATGCTCGTGTCATTCTCTCTCTCTCTCTCTCTCTCTCCCCCTCTCCCTCCCTCCCTCTCTATCGGCTTTAGCATATTAAAACGCTTTTTTAGAAAAAAAAAAAAAAAAATACAATTCATTTCTCAGGATGGTCTGAAAGTTTCTCATAAAATAACGGCAAAAAGACGAAACAAAGTCTCGTATTTGAACTACGAAACGTATTAGAGTAGACGATTCGATGCACTTTATAGTTATTTAAATAAAATACAGAGCGAATCACGCAACTAGGTCAAACCGTAATCGTTAGATTATTCGAGATAGAGAAAAATATTTATGAGAATAGGGTATACAAGTCGAAACGTATCACCGATTCTCCTGTATTCGTGTTATTTCTATTTGTTACGATACATGAACATAAATATCAACTATGGCGTGATTCGTTTGGTATACGAACAACGTGCTAAAGTTTCTTTAGCATTGCTTTCTCTAACATAGCTTTTTCTTTAAATCGATGTTGAATGTCTATATAAAAACATAGTTTGAGACAAAGACCTCATTATTTCCACTCTTGTTAATGGAAAAAAAACAAAAATGAATCTATGCTGGGTCGAGCTACGAAAGAATTCATTGTTTCGATCAAAAGAAAATGAAATGGAGTAAATTAGATGCTGAACAAGAAAGAGCACTTTTCTGCTCGATTTTTACGAGAGGTTCGATGTCTCAAAGGATCTCTGCGATATTGTCTGACATCTTTACGCGACTAGTCAACTGCATTTTTATCTCTTTTCTCTCTCTCTCTCTCTCTCTCTCTCTCTCTCTCTCTCTCTCTCTCTCTCTCTCTCTCTCTCCCTCTCTCTCTCTTTTTTCTCGCGATTCATAATCGATGACGGTTTTATACAATTGGTAAAATTCATCAGACGCATGCTTTTAGTAGAAACTATAGTTGGCCTGTACTCCTTTCTGATCAATGCCACACGATATATTGTACTTTACGTGTTTAGCACGCTTAAATGTTTACCTCCGCATTAACAATGTTATTATAGAAGCTGTTTTCGTTCAACTAATTTATATTCCATTGCTTCTTTCTTTCCTCGCCCATCCAGAAAGTACCGTTTTCGTTTGCAGCCACGAGTCTTGCGGGATTCAAGAACGAAAGACTGACTTGGCTGAATTTAAATTAGGTGGATCAAAGTATTAAAAGGAAATAAAATGATAAGAATAAAGAAAAAACGAAAACGTAATAAAAACCAACTAGTTGATATACGGTTGTGAGAATATATGTGATGATTATAAAAAAAAAAATTTATATATATATATACACACATATATGAATATTAAAGTTGTTTCAAGCTCGTTATCGTCAAAATGGCTAATTCGACGTTTGTGTCATCGATTACCGAACACTCGCAGAAATTTCATTACGTCTGCGGTTTGTCGAGTACTCCAATATTTATTAAACTTTTTCTCTCGCTCGTTAACAAGCATGACGTTTGAAAAAATCTGAAGAATTTTGATCCTAACTTAATAATTGTACGTGAGTCCAATTTTTTAAGAGCGCGAGAGATACTTGTTTATTACTTAAACGCGTGTTTATTATTTAAATGCGTGTTGAGCGATAATTTGATCGTTGCTCGAAATATTGTAAATATTATAACGTCCGATATAAATGAAAGTCTGAATATAGATATAGATACAGTTTGTTTTGAATAATTCATATGTAATATTGTTCCTACTTGGATTTATTTGACGGCATTAGTAATCTGCGCTTTTTCACGAATCCGTGCATTTAGAATAATATAGACAATTATTTGACGAAAGAAAAGAAAACAAAGAAAAGAAAAGAAAGAAAAAAAAAAAAAACAAAAAAACAAAAAAAAAAGAAACTCAAACAGTCGAAATAACACGTACATACATACGTATATCTATATATTTATTGATCAACGTGCATGTCCTTGGAAACTTGCACTTTGTATATTCTAATCCTACGAAATGTATGTACAGAGAATCTTCGATAATACGACGCACTTTTTCCATCCACTTCACCCAACCCCGAACCTTGAGTATGACGCACCAGCAAGCGTAGTCCATCAGCATTGTTACCATGATTCTTAATAAGCAAATGAAAATAATAGTTTATATCATAGAGGATCGATCGTTGGTATCATCGTCTGTTAGCTAATGAAAATAGTAGCGGTGAGGAATTCGCAGAGCGTTCTCATCGAGTGCATCGTATGAATATTATAAAGTAGCATCGTGTAATGCGTACGAGGCAGCATTAAGAAAGCTTTAATCTCGTGTAAGTGCGTATATCTGTGTGTGTGTGTGTGTGTGTATGTGTGTGTGTGTGTGTGTGTGGTCTTGAAAGTTTATCATGAAAAAATGTCCTTCGATAGAGGCATAATCGCAACCACACACGCGTGTACGCGCACGTATCACGCAAGTGCTTGTGCATTGGCATTTTTCATCGAAGAAAAATTCTTTATATCATATCCGATATGATATCATCGATCCTATCCGACACGTTCGTACGTAGAAAGCAAGGAACGAAAGATAACGTTCAATTGGTAGCGATCTTACGCACACAAACTTACATATATATTTACATATGTATAATATATAAATGCCTGACGCGAAATTCGCGCGAGCGAATCGTTGGCTCGTTTTTAATCACCGAAAAGACCGAGCTTAATGAACCGTAGAAAAGTATTTCTCCTGCCTGTGTACATACATAAATATATGCACACGCACACGCAAACAGACATATACAAATGCTGCACTATGCGTCCTTAACTAAGTTGCATCGTTTCCACACCTATCTCTTTCCACACTTCTCTCTGAGATAAACATTGTGCAGGGGGAGCAGCTGTTTCTCAAACCAGATCGCTTAGCGACGTTGAAGCATCCTAGCAAGATCGAGAAGCCGCCGCAGTATACCACGTTCAAGCCGGGTAACTGAAGATATCTTAATGCGTGCGTCTCTCTCTCTCTTTTTTTTTATTTATAAACGCGTGAAGAAAGCGCTCACGTAGCAAAGAAGAAAAGAACGAGAGGCGAAGAAAGAGGAAGAGAGAGAGAGAGAGAGAGAGAGAGAGAGAAAGAGAAATATCAAATTACTATTTATATTGTTGTTATCATTATTATTATCATTATTATTATTATTATTATTATTATTATTATTATTATTATTATTATGATTATTATTATTATATTTGTATATGTAAGTATATATCATGTCTTTCAAAGTGCGAAATGCTTTCTCACGTACCTCCAATGAAATCAAATGTAATTGTAAGTTCGTACAAACATTTAAAAAGGTTTGACGGATAGGGAAAATCAAAGAATATTCATAAAAATTCGCTCATATATTTTATTCGAGGAAAAATCAAAACGAGGAAAGTTTGATTATCGTGTGTTCGATAACGAAGCTCGGAGGAAAGTATGTTGTACGAGTGACAAGGTTACAATTATTTTCCCTTTATCTCATATTTATCGAAAAATTGTTTGAGTTATCGACTGCCTCTCCGATATCGTCGTAGTCACTTACTTATTCGAGTACGTAATTAAAAGCTGCATTTCGTTACATTGGCAGAACTTTTCATTTAGATTGAAAAGTTTGCGTGTTCCGTTGGAAAGAGGGGTATCTATTGTGTAATATTAAAACGAATTTACCTCTCTCTCTCTCTCTCTCTCTCTCTCTCGCGTAGACTTGGGTATTCGATTGATCATCATCGTAATAAAGCGAAATATTCGAAGGCAAATTACTGACGTTGCGGAATGTTTTGTTGAGTCATTTATCGAATATTTTATTGTTGCATAAGACGCCATAGAAGAATTCGAATGCCCGTCTACGAAAGTTCATAGTTAATCTGTCGCTAATTAATCTGTCGGAAACATCTCGCTGCCGGGTATATACTAATATTATATAACGAAATGACTGAGTTTTGGAGTGAACCAAGTGGAAAAAAAAAAGATACGAGGAATGTTGTTTCGGAATGGTCGAGAATCTAACTCACGAAAGTAATTGAGTTTATGACAAAGTCGGGAGTGGGAAGAGAGAAGTCGGTAAAGTTCTAAAACGAACTGGTTGGTTCAATCCGATTTCTTCGAACGAACAGAGTATAGAAATTTATCTTGTAAACGCTTACGACGTATTGTTAATAAAACAATGATTTTTTTTTATCGGTTACTATTTTTATCGATATATTGTATCAGTAGAAAGGAAGATCGTGTTTTTAGTATCGATCGTATAACGAGAATATGCGTAACGTGGGTGTGTGTGTGTGTGTGTGTGTGCGTGCGCGCACGCTCGTCCGAACGTGTGTGTTCCCGCGTGTGTATGTGTGCGCGCGTGTGTATCTGTACGTACGAGAATGCAAGTGCGCGCGAGAACGAGGAACAATGTGTTTCGTACTATATAATAAACATAATGTACAGACCGTTGTCCATATCACAAAGTCTGCGCTTATTAACACAAAAGAAATACTTGTATATTTAATTTCGACCGCTGGCGATGTCACGACAGGTATACGAACTTAAGGAACCGATTTCCCAACTTGACAGAAATAAATCAAACTATTAACACCCATTGCTCGTTGAAAACTTTCATTTTATTCGTTCCCAAACGTATCCTAGAATTTATGGTGTAACTTTATGACACATCAAATGGAACAATATATGAGAACAAGTCCTTATTCATAATTACTCAGGAAAGGCAAGAAACGGAAAATTTATTTAATGCCTTTAAAATTTCTGCCCTTATGAAATATATAAAGATTTATATAAATATAATTTTAATAAAATGAATAAATAAATGTTGCAACAAATAACGTAAGATTTGAAATCGTAACACGCTATTGGTCAGTTTACCGAGTAAGACCGTAAGAAAATCTATTGGACGTTCCTACGGCTCGATACTGGCCGTTGATTGGCCGTATACGTAATCAACGTCAGGCGCGACCAATCCAGTCGTAGCGCCACCGCTATTGCAACCAACTTCAATCGCAATAACGAAACATCAGTAAAGAAACGGCAGCAGTTACCGTTACTCTATACCTTGTCATTTATATGCCTCTATATTTATAGTGGCTGCCTCGTGCTTTCTGATATAAAGAATTGTTAATTGTAGGTTAGAGCGTACGTTTGAAGTTTTATTAAAAGTAAACGTAAGATTTCGAGAAAGTTTTCCCTTGTTAATGCCGATGTAAATATATCTTTTATTAATTATGGCAGTTCGTGTGCAATTCGAAAACAACAATGAAATTGGAGTATTTTCAAAGTTGACGAATTCGTATTGTTTGGTGGCAATTGGTGGTTCCGAAAACTTTTATAGGTAATTTAATATGATTTTTCAAATAATTCTTTACGATCGATTGATTAATTGTAGACAATTATTTTACGTCGCCCGCAATAAGACCTCGCAATGATCGTCTACCATAACCTTTGAATTTATCGAAATACAACTTGGGAAGTTATTTCGTAACAAAATTATTATTTACAGTGTATTCGAAGCGGAACTGGCTGAAACAATTCCTGTAGTACACGCGTCGGTAGCAGGATGTCGTATTATTGGACGATTATGCGTTGGTAAGCCTTTCAAAAACGACAACGTGTCAAAAGTGATCAACGATGAACAGCAACGGTGAACAAATAATTATTTCTAGGAAACAAAAGTGGATTATTAGTTCCAAATACGACTACGGATACAGAATTACAACATATACGAAATTCGTTACCAGATAGCGTAAAAGTACAAAGAGTTGAAGAAAGACTCTCTGCTTTGGGAAACGTTATTGCTTGCAACGATTATGTAGCTTTGGTCCATCCTGATCTTGATAGGGTAATTTTTCATAGCAATATCAAAATACATATAAACGTTATAAAGTGAATTTGATATATATATATATATATATATACACATTACAGGAGACTGAAGAAATTTTAGCAGATACTTTGAACGTTGAAGTATTCAGGCAAACAGTAGCAAGTAATGTACTCGTTGGATCATACTCTGTTTTATCTAATCAAGGTGGTTTAGTACATCCAAAAACTTCTATTCAGGATCAAGATGAGCTATCTTCACTTTTACAAGTACCACTTGTTGTAAGACAAAATTTCGTTTCTATACTAGGAAAAGTACAAAAGTCTATAATACTGAATATATACATATATGTATATGTATGTATGTATATGTATATATATATATATATATATATGTAGACACACAATTTATTTATGCAGGCAGGTACGGTCAATAGAGGTAGCGATGTTATAGCCGCAGGCATGGTAGTAAACGATTGGGTTTCTTTTTGCGGTATGGATACAACTTCAACGGAACTTTCTGTTATCGAAAGTGTTTTTAAGCTCTCCGAATGTGTACCAGCTGCTATAACATCCACTATGCGTGCATCTCTTATAGAAAGGTAATTACTTTATATAATAAATTCATACAGTATTCATATTTATCATCTATTTGATAAATATATGATTTTTATTTTTGCAGTATGTCTTAAAAAATATAACACCCTCGATCCAGGAGACAAATTAAACAAATTATCTCATGATATAATATACTATACAGTGTACATATTCATAGATTCTAATGTTATGTGATCACAAATGCACAATACGATACGATGCTTTGAACTTTCCCCTTTTTTGGCACTACTGTATAATTCCAACTAAAATACTTTCCGGTGTAATAAGACATTCTACATTGAAATTTATAAGAAATGTTTTTATCCTTCTTTATTCATATGTGTATATATATATATACGTATGTTTGTATGTATGTATATATATATATAAAAAAAAAATAAAAAATATAATTGTAAGATCATTTTGTATTAATTAAAGATATAATCTAAGAAAATCATATTTGTTACATTACTTGAAATAATAAATAGTGAGAACTGAGATAGCTATCATATTAAATTTAATGTAAAACATTGCTTAAATTTTATATTAATATTAATATCGAGTTTATCCGTATTCTAAAAAATAGTAATTTAATTCTTCAACGCATAGAAAATTTTCATTCTCTATACGTAGAGTATCGATGTTAGCGCCCCTATCGATGAGAAAACGAGACTAAAGCGTTTCTTGGAAGTAAGAGTTCTCGGAAAGAATTGATATGTAGAGTTGTGTATATTTGTGAAAAGTTTGTGCGTATGTATTATTTAACGACTAATTGATTTTCATCCTTATCAATTGCTCGTTTATTAAATTATATTGATAACTTGCTATTTTTATATCGATAATATTGATAGGACATATGATGATATTAATAGGTTATAGAATTCGATTTTGCTTAATCTCGTTATGCGTTTCATTGAATTTTTCAAGTAATTTATAAATGTAATATTTTGAACGTAAAAAATAAGATAAATAAATAGCTCTAAAGCAAGTAAATATGGAGTATGAAAAGATAACCTCAAAAAGTAAAGATGAAAATTTGAAAAAAAAGGAATGGCCAGGTATTCGGACGTATGAAAATTTTGGTGAGCAAATTTATTAAAAAATTGTAATTATTACAGGACAAATAGTTATTTCTCAATCAATAACGAACACGTTGTTTCAGTAACGCGAATCGAACCAAATTTGCTTATCATAGAGATAGGCCGATTAATACCGTATATAAAAGGAGAAAATATTAAATTTTTTCCTCTTAATATGCCATCTATTGAAATAGGATTTATACATATAATAGGTATTATTCTACAAGTTTCTAATTTCGGAAATTATTACGAATTCCAAGGTATTCAAATCTTTTAATTTTAAAACAATACAAACTATAATTGCTTAACATTTTTTTCCCGTATTCCTATACGATTAAAAGTTTAATTACAAGTATCCTACAAGCTTTTGTATTGTTATAAGAAAAGAATGTTAGGCAAAGATAGATTAAAATTATGGATTAAAATCTATAATGAGATTATTCTGTAGTCGACGATGGTACAGGAATATTAAGTGTAATGTATAATGCAAAACGCTACTTTTCTGAAAAAACGAAACGCCTTAAACCTCAGGTAAATGAATAAAAAATTGTATTAACATTTAACGTTCTTGGTATAACTGTTAAACTGTTAATATATAACAGTCTTAAAATATTTTTTAGAATTCAAATAATGATCAAAAAAGTACAGAGAGTATTCAGAAAATTGATGATTTACAACCTGGTAAATACGTGCACCTGGGAGGATTCTTATCGTTGAATAATTATAAAAAAACTATTTCTACCGACTTTAAGAATAAAGATCCTTCAGAAAATTTTTGGTGCAGTCAACCGCTGTTACATGTTATAAATTTACAATTCATTAGCGAAAAAGAATATTACAAAAAAATGTATGCCTGGTTTGGAAGTGGAGAAAGCAGATATACTTGAATGATATTAGTCTTAAGTAATATCTCTATAATGCCTAATATATCTTAAGTTACATGTTATATTTTATATCATTTTCTACATTGTATGAAACATTATGCGTCGAATAGTATATTTTAAGTAATATTAAAAGCCTTTTTTTACGAATGCCACGGTGTAATTTTATTGTGCATTTCGGCGTGTGTGCATATATATATATATATATATATATATATATATATATGTATGTTCATGGATAGCAGTGCAGCCATATCGAATGAATCATTGACGAATCACTTTGTAGGCATGTAACTTGATGAAACTACTTTAAACCATTGACAAACTACTGTATAGATGGTGCTTTCTGGGCAAGTTACGAATTTTGTAATCAAGATATCAATTATATGATAATAATTGATATCTTGATTATATTAAAATAAAATTTCAATTCGATATCTTATAATCTTGTTTCTCCTTAATTATTCGGCCTTAATTAAGGATGGAAAGTAATTCAATCGATTAGGAGGAGGGACACCTTGTTCTCTCATTGGTTCTCTATACGGTAGTATTAAATGCATAAGACGATTGGTCGTGTGCGGTTTATAGGTTAAATGTACCATCAATCTATTGTGATGTATACTGTTGAGAGTTTTGCAGGATCTAGAGTATAAAATTATTAATGTTCAGTTATAAAAAGTATCGTTTAATAGTAAATTATTTATATAAAAAAACCATTTGATGGATTCCGATGACGAATCATCGATAAAAGACTTTCAACCAAACCCGTACAGCGTAAAATATGGGGAAATTGTCGATCGTCTATTGAAGGAATCGTCTGAAGACTTCGAAAAGAGCGGCAAATGCAAGTATTTATAAAAATCAAATCGAATAAATGTTGCAAATAGAAAATATACTTTTTAAAACGTTTCATTAGAATAAATAGGATTTGTTTGCTGTAATATGTAGTTTCAGATAAAATATTATTAAGTCTATATAACGTTTTTGGTGAAGTGTTTGAAAGGGCATTAGAATTATACGAAGAAGGACGTATAACGCATATCTCTTCGTCTCCGCCGGTTGTTAAAGGAAGCCGGTACAACAGGAATAATGCTCGTTGGTTGTTCCAAGTAAAAGGTTTTTCAGGATCTATATATACGCTTTTCCCGGAGATAAATTTTTGTACTTGCCTTTCGTTCAGGTAAACTACTTACTATCTTTTTATCGTCAAATATCGTAATGCCATTTTATCTTATTCGTATTTCAGGAGTCAGGTATTAGATAATAGAACTTTATTTACCTGTAAGCACGTTTTAGCTGGTTGGTTAGCCACGATCGATAAAGAGAAATTATCTTATCAGCAAATTACATCAGCGGAATTTCAAAATTTTTTATTGTATCAATCCTTTTATGATCATGCTGACGCCTAATGTCGACGACTACAAATTGATCGCAAAATTGGGTAGTCTTAAAACAATAGTCAATTTATTGAAAGCATTAAATTTCAAAGAGGTATATGATTTAGCTCGTTTACGAATAGACACACAGTGTGTTTTGCGCGTCGATAATTCGTCGTATTCTTTTAGACTGCCACTTGCTTTGCCACAGAGAATGGATTAAAGGTAACAGTGGAAGATGCCAAGTGCATGCAAGCAAGCGCTTATATTCCAGGAGTTATTTTTGTAGAATTTAATTTAAAGGAGGATGTAATGTTCAGAATAAATTTAAGCATACTCGTTGAATGTCTTTGTATGTTTTGGAGTAATATAAATACAACGGGGAGTAATGTTGCCTTAGAACTGTTTTATAAAGTATGAAATATTTTCTTTGTAAATACGAACAATGTGTTCCTCTTCTCTGACCGATAATCATATAAGTTTTCATGTATCCATCCCCAGGGTATCGGTAATCCATTGAGCATACTCATAGAAGAAAATGGCATTATAACGGATTGTTCGTTGAAAACTCATAATCCGGAAGAGTTACTAGACTTCCATCTAGAGCCAGAAAACGTTTTAAATAAAGTTGTACTGCAAACGGAATTATTAAAGGATATTTTATCCGAGCTCGATCCGACCAGCGAAGTGATGGAGGTAACTTTTTACAATTATACGTGATGATTTATTTTAATATTTTAAGAAAATGGAATATTTATCTTTTGCAATCTCAGCTGTTATTGTCTCCCGAAGCACCATTCTTTAGAATAAGTACCAATGGTTTAGCCGGTATATGTCATATCGAACTGCCTCACGATGGAGAACTTGTAGACAATTTTCAATGTACTACGGTAGCCACGACCAGTTATAGATTGGCACATATTAAGCCAGCCATGAAAGCATTATCTTACGCCAATAAAGTGTCCTTAAGGACCGACGATTGCGGATTACTGTGTTTTCAATACATGGTGAAAACTGAGGAGGGCCACACGTGTTATATCGAATATTACGTAAGAAGAATTATTAATTAGGTTGATAATGGAACTCAAACTTGTTTCAATATATGAATATATTTTGATCTTTTTTTTAGATATCGCCGGTGATAGATATTAAATAGAAAAGAATCATCGTAAAATTTCGTATTTAACGCAATAAAACATAAGAAAGGATAAGAAAATTTTTGGGGTAATATTTTTTATTGGTAGAAAAAAAATTCTCTGACGACTTATAAACATATAATACGTGACGCAGCAAGTATTTGAGAAACTCGTGCTAAAGACATTAAAGAATTGATAATGCGCTTATTTTTATACCTTTAAATACATTCAAAGATCGCATATATGCTATCGACATTTTATTTCTATACGAATTATATTTCTTCGATATTAGTAGCTTTAAATACTTTTGCATGTTGTTTTAAAACATCAGCGTCAATCCGCCGTTAAACCATCGACATATAACATTTTTCTTTAGTAAAAAATACTAAGCGAACTTTTGGAACGTACTTTTCATTACTTAACGATAAATAGGAGTTAACATCTCCTATATATTTGAAGCTTTTTAACGAGTAAAATTCTTGGTATGTTTAGAGTATGAATTGGACAGCCAAGTTTTCTTAGGACACGTCTGAAAGGATATTAGTTCTGAACGGTGTACACTCTTGTACAGACTATATCGTCGACCTTCATTACCTGTAACAAAAACAAAAACAAAAAAAAAAAAAAAAAAAAAAAAAGAAACAGAAATAGAAAGATTTAGGCAATCGTATCGTGTTTCAAAGAAAAGAGATAATTTTTGTCCCTTGTCTATTTCGTACCGGCAATTGCCGGTAACATCGGTACACAGCTCACGTAATTCGTCATTAAATAACGTTGATTCTATCAAGTAGTACTTGAAATTGTAATTATCCAATTATGATGCAATTTGAAGTCACGTATAATTCATTAATTATTAATAATTAATAATTCATATCTTTAAATAATTTATGCCAATAATTATATGTATGTCATATCGGTGTTTAAAGATAGACATGAGTCGTCGTTTTTTTTTTTTTTTTACTTGACACAAAAATACTCTCGCTTTTAATGGGAGGAGGAGGAAAAAAATGATATTTACCGCTTTCATTTCTGTCGGCGTGAATTCTCTCTCGATGGTTGTTTCTTTTTCACCTTTCTGTACGTGCAATAGCTTGTTGCCTTCCATAGTGCAAACGCTCTTCACCTTTCTACCGTCGGGCGTCTCTTCGTCAAATTCCTCGCCGAGTTTGAACTTAATCTCGGAACTTTTGAAAGGGCTGTTGGTTTTCAAAATGTACGTGCCATCGTTTTCCGTAAGCTCAACGACTGGATTCACGCTGGCACCCATTTTCCTCGTAACAAGGCTCACACCTGCAATTTAACGTTCGGATAGTACTTACATACGATTATCATGGGATTGATTTTAAATTAATATTTAATCTTTTATAGGTGGAACTTGCTCGTTCATTAAAAGTATTTTTTTTTTTTTTTTTTTTTTTTTACGTTTATTTATCTCTCGTTTATTTATATTTCATTAAGGACGACAAATAACGATTGACTTTTGATACGATATTAAATATTAATTTCGCCAGAATTTATAGGCAAACCTTAATGATAATCCTTTACTATCGCAGCTTCTGTCGTTTCGACGATTAGTAATCATTTGTAATTGCAGATTAAATCGTGATAAAGCTTTGTAGTTTGACAGATCGATACAGTCGGAAAGATTGAACGCTCCGTGGGACGATAAAACACAATACGTTTTACCGTTTAGAACAGACGTCAAATGTGTATCGAATCGATAAAGGAGGAAGTTTTAATCGAGTAATGCGGGGTTATTCATTGCCATTAAAAAATAAAACTAGATTCGTTTCGATTCATTTTTTCAAAATTTATGAAAGTTAACGAACGATAACAAAGTTCGATTATCGTGACATTAAATCGCCCGTTACACCGATCATAATCGATTATAACGTTAAAACTGAAAGAGCTATTACGAGAAAGTTGATACCTCGTTTCACGAGGCCGAAGTGCATTGATTTTTTTCACAGTGAAAGCCTACGCGAGAGAGAGAGAGAGAGAGAGAGAGAGAGAGAGAGAGAGAGAGGAGAGAGAGAGAATGTGCGTTCGTCAAGTAAAAGGAGAAGAAAGAACAAGGGCAGTGACTTCTCGTCGAAGACTTATTAAACGTCATTTAAGCTCAATATATCGAGCTTGACGATAGTTAACGTACCGATTCTTACCGACATACGTTCGTTTCTCGTTCTTGGAACAATGCATTACGCATGTCATGCGTTATATTTTATTCCATCGCGAAGGTGATTAAGATGTGCCTTTCAATGGAAAATGCAATGAGCTTTTAGCGCAAGTTCAAACTTATACTTAATTCGAACTTTGCGTCAAATAGAACGAGATGATAATAATAAAGCAAAATCTGTCATGATCAAAGTTCTCTTCGTATCATTACTTTTACATGTTCAATTTGTTTAAATAGATTTCTTTTTTATTTCTTATAATCGTTCGCCATTAAAGATCAAAGATCTTAGATTAAGTCCTTAATGGGTTGATGCATGTACAACGAAACATGATTAATAGCATCTAGTACGTAGAATACCTTTTCCTTGAACTATAATAAATTATAAGATAATAGAATATTTGTTAAAAAGCAAACACTATCGAATGTATCTGAAAGTATTCTTTTAATATGAAAAATATGGGTCTTTTCTTTTGTTTTTATTTAATTAAAAAACAAGTTTGAGATAGCGAAACAAGTATTGTTATAATAGACTAGCCATTATCGTTTCTCAGTGTAGATATCTACACTTACATAGAGAACAAGTTACCAGCAACGATTCGACCAGCAATTGCGATTTATTAATCTTCCTTGATAAATTAATTCAAGTACTAAATTGAAGCACAATCAGACTATGCAGCGTCCAGCATGGACGAGATGGTGGGAATTAAACATGAGGTCAGGTCGTTGTACGAAAGACGAGAGCATAGTTTAACGTATTAAAATTGATTATCTTATTCGTCTTTCGAATGCTTCGTCGAACGTGTGTGTTCTCTCTCTCTCTCTCTCTCTCTCTCTCTCTCTCTCTCTCTCTTTCTCGTCGATCAACGTTCGTTCTGACGAACGAATGTACCCGCGCATTGATTCGAATTCTTTTACGAAGCGTGCTAATTCGATTTTCTTTATTGTCCTCTACCTTTCTTACTTTCGCACGAGTATTCGATTATCAGCGACGAAAGATGATAATCAATGAAAATATAATGGCTTGTCGATTAAATTAGTCTGTTGATGACAATGAATATTTTAAATAGTAACGCATAGATTATACGCATATGTGTATTACACACGGCGTATAGAGGTAGAGCAGCCTTCCATATCACTTGCCAGCAAAATGTCCTTCTATCGTAAATACATATTTGTATAGCATACGCGCGCGCGCACGTACGGCCTATACTTTGCCTATACGTTCGACCGGACGAATTTTAATCATAACAATCTAGTACGAAGCTAATAGCGTACGATATAACAATGGAAACTAAGCGGAAACAAATGAAGCTAAACAATAGAAAAGCTATTGTTCTATTATTCGAACACATTCATCTTCATATCGGTTTCGAGGATGGCTCTATTATACGTGCGTAATAATTTACATAAAAATATAAAAGTAGGTTTAATCGTTGAAACGAGTTATCCTTACGACAACGGCGGCGTTATATACATATATGCAGGGTGTTAAATTTTTAGGAGCATCGATAAAAACATTTCGCAGGAATGATATCTCGCTACCGGCTCTAGAAGGAGGGTTCTCTCTCTTAGCAATAGCAATCGAAGAAGCAATATCTCGTGGTTAAACTCACGTCATTCACAGAAAGTATTAATTGTCTTGACGCAAAATCTATTCCCTGGATAATAAACATTTTGAATGTACAAAATGATATTTTTTATTCGATAAGATAAATTCTATTCGCGACGGATTATTTTTATACGCATGGATAATAATATGTAAAAATTCTTCATTGGAGAAGCACTTTTCAAATTGATTACGTAGTACGATCGGACGATTCGAAAGATTTTCTCGTACGTAACCTAAATTCCATTAGACTTTTGGAACGTTAACGTTATCGACCTGACACAATTTAGCTTTTATACGACAACCGTCATAGTTAATAATCAGCTAATTATCTCGAGCATAACGAGAAGAAAGGAAGAACGCTTTAACGTACCTAGAGCCTTCATGAAATCATCAAAGTTCTCGCTGTTGGAGAGCTTGTACTTCTTTCCAAGGAAATCCTCGGCAGGCATGATGGACGATCGATACCGCTTCGAGCTTAACCGCGTGAATAAACGAGAAGGACCTTCGGTCGTATTACACCGCAGGAGAACCTGAGACGAGTACTTTCTTCTTTCCTAGACGTTAGACGAATAGATGGGAAGAACCGATGGTGGATCGGATCGAAGAACGATACGACGAACTCACTCAGCCCGGAGGATAACCCGTCTTCTGACTCTAACGACGTATCCTGTGTCCATCTCTATTTCTCTCTCCCCTCTTAATCCACCCTACTCCCTCCACACCCTTTCTCACTCATCGTTCGTATCCTGTCGCGCGCGCTCTCTCTCTCGCCCTCTCTCTTTCCTCCCCGTCCTCTAGCAAGCAAAACTCGTAGCATCTCATTCTCTCTCTCCCTCTCTCTCTCTCTCTCTCTCTCTCTCTCACGTTAGCTCACACCGATCTTTCCAGTATTTGGGCGTATCCCCCACTCTTTGTTCTAACTGCAGCTGTGCCACCTAACTTTTTTTTCTCACTCTCTTTTGTTGCCTGTCATTTCTTTTTATTTCTACATATTCATTCTTTCTACGAACTTACCTTCTCTTTTTTTCTTCTTCTTTTTCTTTTGTTCTTTTTACCGTCATTTTTCGTAAGCTCACGTGTAATTTCGTCTTCTTCCACAGTAGCAGTTATTTTCTTCTTTTTATGATTATGATTACAAGGCGTTAAAGTGCGATAAGATTAGAAAAGTTACACTTTGCGCCTTGGATAATATGGGAATGTGATATTCAAATGAGTTTTCGATTACTGTGAACACAGCAAAGAAGATATTTTTCATTTAGTCATCCAATCATAAACTTGTAATTTTATTCGAGAGAGAGGGGGGAAGTACGAATTCGTTAACAATTTTCTTTGATACGAATAATAAATCCTTGTACGGCCAATCGCATTACGATCGTTTTAATGGCTCGTTCGAACGGAGATGCGGTAAGAAGGAACTTTGTACACGCGTTTGTTCCATTATTATTACTATCCGTTCTTCCCCACCTACGCAAGTCGTATCGTTCTGAAATATATTCTACTATATATATTCGAGGAGACGCTCGCGCCATACGAAACCTCCACTCTCATTGGCCGTTGAAATCTGGCGCGTGGTTTATCGACGAATCCCTGCGTAGGTAAAATAATTCAATTATACGATGTATATTGTCGGAGTTCTTTCGAACAATGCATTTGCAAAAACTCATTCAACGATGTTTAGAACAACATTTTCTTTGACGGAAACGTCAAACGATTCTATGAAATTTCTCGCGACAAAATTCGCGTGTCTCGATCGTTTGATCGATTTCGTGCAGTAAAACGCGCCAACGAGCTTTTGGCATGCGAGGTTAAGCGAATAATCGCACGATTAGATCGCATAAAGTCGTTAACGAGATCTTTCCTCGCCGATGCGCATCTCAAGGTATCTCGGCTATATATATATATATATATATACGAATGTTCATATGCGTGCGCGTATAGATCGCGTTCGTATCAGAGACGTACGAAAGGCGTTTATAGTCGAAGCTGGCGTAAATTCGGGATGATGACTCAAACGTCGAAAGAGATCGAAAATGTTGACAATTTTTGATCGGCGCAGTCGACGCGCGTAGTCTTTATTATTGGTCGGTCACTATCAAAGTTCTGCGTCAATTCCGTGACAACGAGGAGAAGGAACGTATAACGGTCGATAACGACGATGCGGTTTAAAAGAGGGCCGACGTGGCAGCGGCACGTATTTTCGTCCACGAAATGCCAAGAAGACGACGAGTCGAGAGCGCATAGCAATCACCGGATGTTATCAACGTATATATATATATATATATATATATATATGTATATGTATATGTATATGTATATGTATGTACGTTGCTCGCGAAAGTAACTCGATCGGTGCGAATTCCGACGTACGAACGCGTGTACGTACGATACGTCTACGCGTATATTCGTTTGTACTCGCTTGGTATACTTTATGGAAGTATAAATCGCGATATGACGCTTAAAGTTAATAAAATACCATATGCATAACTATGTTCATGTGTACGTACGCATGGATATAAAAAAAAAACGCGTACGAGTAAAATTCAATAAGGAAAGGCTTAACGCGAATAAATAAAATACACACGTGGATGGACGCGCGTCTCTCTTCCGTCGTTCTTCAATCGGGTATAGGTCAGTAGAGATTTGGCAACGTCGCGATGTAGCAGAGGCGGCGACGGCGGCGGCGGCGGCGGCGGCATAGATTCCGCTCCGCAACCGCAACCGCACACCCGCCTGGCCGCCATGATGCCAAACGAAATACGCCGTGCAACGGTTTCTCCGCAGTGACGCGTAAGCTACCGTCAACGTAGCAACACGGCCATTTGCGGCAAGCGTTCCGTACGATTCTTTTTATTTTTTTTTCGTTATTCATCAAATCATTCATCGTAGAATTTTTATCGAGCTAACCCAGAGACCGCATCATCGATTCGTCTCCGATCAATCGTCACGTTTTATTTTGAAAAACAGAACTATCCATTTTTGTCCTCTACGCGTATTTCGCTCGCTTTTCGATATTAAGAGGATTATCGAGAGAATCTAGCTTTTGAATCGATGATCGTTGAGAGAATTGACGAAAAGGAAGAGAGGGGATAGAGTGACGGAGAAGAGAGAGAGAGAGAGAGAGAGAGAGAGAGAGGGAGGAAGGGGGCGGGGGGCAGAGAGAGATATATTTGAAAATATACAACATGTTTGACACGGAAAGATTTATCGAGGAGATCGAGAAAAGGCCGGCGATCTACGATGTGAATCGTAGCGAGTACAACGACCGTAACGCCAAGATGAGCGCGTGGGAAGAGGTTTGTCAGGTGATGGTACCGAACTGGACGCGTTTGTCGGACGAGGAGAGAAACATGGAAGGTATATATATATATATATATATATACACGTATGATGCACGTATCGTCGTGCGAACGATCGATCGATCCGGATTCCTCGTACGACCGTTTCTCGTTATACCGGATCGTTTCTTCTCTCTCATTAACTTTCCTTTTCTATTATTTCACAGATTATATCACATTCGCACCGAGTCCGTTTCTTTTGAAAATTCGAATTACATAGTCGCGCGAACTTTCGTTAGAATCTATTTTGATAGGTTTTGAACGATGCGTTTCGCTCGCTTTTCTCCCTTCTCCTTTTATTCTTTCCATTCGATATTTTCTTTTTTTAGAAAAGAGCTTGCGAGGGAAGTGGAGAAATATACGAGACTATTTCATGAAAGAGTTCAAACTGCAGCTGCAAAAATCCCTTAAACCGGACTCGGTACGCCGGAAGCGGAAAAAGTATATGTACTACGACCAACTGCTTTTTCTCATGCCCACCGTTGAAAACAAGCTACGGTACCGACTTATTATATACAACAGTCTGCATAATATTTTATCTTAATTTTGATTCTCAGGGAACGGGGGGTGGGGCGAAAGTTGGTTATATTATTTCTTATTTCTTTCCTCCCTTCTCCCGGCCCTAAAAACGAAATTCTTCATGTATTTCGTAGGATTACGAATGTGGCAGGAAATCAATGCAAATCGGAGGAAAGCGAAGGCGAAGGCGACAATCCAGTTATAGAAGAATCCGACGTTCCACTGGCCCACGCTGTTCCGTCTCTAACGACCGGCAGAGAATATGTGCAAACCGGTGCTTCTTTCAAAATGTGTCCACGTTATCCGAAGCAATTGTGCGAAACGTCTTTGGCGTCCTTCGATAATGAAATTCATGATATCCTATCGTCGCACAGCGGTCAACGTGTAGCGATCGACGAAGAAGATTACGACAAAATGTTTCTCTTGTCTTTATTACCGACCATCAGGCAAATACCCGAAGAGAAAAAGTTAGACGTTAGAATACAAATGCAGCAAGTATTGGCTTCGGCCTTACGTCCACCCGACGATAAATAATCGATCATTAAGATTTTCATTTGATCGCAACGAACCGATTGGATCGACGACCGACATCTGACAAAGATTTTAATTATATGCAATTTCGTCGAACGAGTATCGTCGATTCTGTACCTCAATATTTTAGATTAACGAGAAGATTATGCGTAATGAAGCTATATGTTTGTATATATATGGCTAATATTATTGAGATGCCTTATGTGCAGGGACGAGTACAAATCATAAGTACTGATTTCTAATTGTACCAATTATGATTAAAGAGCAACGATCACGTGGACTGTAAGAATACTTCTATCTGTGATATGGTCGTGTTACATGTAGAGATAATAGAATATAAAGTGGAATGGATTTTCTTGAAACGATATGCTACACAGAAAGAAATTATAAAATTATTAAAATATCGTATCAGCAGGGTAACCGTGTAATGACGTAGAGACATATCCTGCTGTATCTGAAAATATTTTAAAATTATATAATTATATATTAAAAATGCAATTATTTTGATTATTTTTACCTAAACTTTCTTTTCCAATTGTCGATAAGTCCCTTTCGCTCTGCAATACCGATCATTGAGCGGACAAACCTTTTTGCGATCACCTAATTTACCTACATGGGTAGGTCTCTCGAAAAAGTATATAGTATTGCGGTCGTTTAACGAACGATGGCAGATGCTTCCACGATAACGCACGGCTTTCTTTTTTACCGAGCCAGTTTCCGGAAATGCTTACTTATATGATATTTACATATATATATATATATATATATATATATACATACACCTTTAAAAAACTCATTCGCGCACACGCGTACGCACTCTTGTGTTATTTGATTAAGTAGCATAATTTTCAGGTTTTCACGTCATAAAAGTTCTCGATTAGCTGAAAATTGATTAAAAATTATCCTCTTAAGGTTTATTAATAAAATTGTTAAAAAATATATGAGATAGTAAACTAGCGAAATTTACATTCGAAGAATTATTTGTATTTTGTACACATGATCGCTGTGAAGTAAAAGAATTTTTTTCTGTTGAAATTTTTTTCCTTGTTAATTACATTGCAATGTGATTTATTTGCGATACCATCGAATATGACTTTATCATAACCGACAAAGAATATGAACGAACATCGTTGGAATATTTTCAAAATTTTCACCATAATAAAAAAGAGACAAGATAAAATATTTGCGATGCTTCGTTAAATCGACGAGGTTCAATTACGAATTTTAAATTCCGCTAGTGAGCTATTGTTTTATAAATTTAATGAAAACGACGAGTACTTTTTTTCCCCCACAGATCGTACATTACAATATTTTCACCGAAACGATGAAGTAAGATACTTTCCGATAAGCGGAAATTGTGTTTGTTAATCGGCGATCTTTGTATTTTTGCCAATGTTATTTTTTCTACGTTTGTCTCTCTCTCTCTCTCTCTCTCTCTTTCTCTCTCTCTCTCTCTCTCTCTCCATCGAGAGCTTTAGGTTACTCGATACATTTCTTCCCCTTTCTGAATATTAAATAGCTGCTATTAAAAAGGATACGTTGACCGACTCGTTTACTCAAAAAGCGACTTTACTTGTAATTCCTGTTCATTCGTATAAACGATCCTTTGTTAAGATCGGATCACAGAATTCTGCGAGTCACTAATGAGGGTATTTGAAGTTAATCAATGGCTAGGTCTCGGGCATTGTTCGTGCAAGGGTGCAAGGCTAACCAGCAACTAGTGGTACTGGTCGAAATTCCACTTGGGTCGACTTCGGCCAACTTTCTTTTCTCATTCCCGTTCGTTGTCTCTTTCGATAGACTCGCGTTTTCTCCCACTCTGTTCTTCCCCTTCCCTCTACTCTCTCTCTCTCTCTCTCTCTCTCTCTTTGCCACCCTTTCGAGCCCTTTCTCTCTCTCTCTCTCCCCCGAACGCTTCTCCCGAACGCCCCGCGCGTTTCTCTCGCGCGCGCGTTCTTCGGCCTCTGGAGCAACCGACAGCGTCCGTCGAGCCGCTCCAGACTTCAGTCTACCTCGAGAACGCGATACAGTCGGGACCTTGAGGATCCTCCTTGAGGGTCAAGGCTTCTTCCGATTCTACGTCGATCTCTTTTCTCGATCGAAAGAGGAAAAAAAAGGGAAAAGAAAGATTGAATGTTTTGAAAAAATCTATAAGAATAGAGATCGATCCTCGAGTTAAGATCCTCCGATTTATATCGATCGAATTTATCGCACGACTAGGGTGATCTTAAGAGAAGAATTCTTACGAAGAGGGTATTATTCGAATCGTCCATTTGATCCGACGAAATTGCAACGATAAGAGTACAGTATAATATCGAAGTAGATCAACGCAGAGAAAGGTAGACCTCCTCTTCCGGCCTTTCGAATCTCGTTAGGTCGTTATCTCAATAGAAAAAACTGTAGCACGTGTACAATTTGTCGGAAAATAAATTGCCATTCGCCCAAGGCAAAGACAAAGAGAAAGAAGAGGAGTTTCCTCGGAGATTGCGGAGGGTTGTTGCTCAGAATCGGGGGACGTTGTCCGTTGTTGCCCGACGTCGGAGCCGGATGTTCGCACGGACAAGACGCCGAAAGCGCTGCCATTTTGGAGAGCAAAATGTTCATGGCCGTGAAAAAGTTCCTTACGACATCCCCTTTGGTTAACAAGGTCAAGTTCCTGATGGTGAGTTATTCGATTATCCTTTTATTCAAATCGTTTCACTTTACCGTATTTCTAATAACTTTGGAGTGCTCGATCAGAGAGGAATTACCTTTGTATAATAAATTTCTTTTCGTTCATTATACTCGTATATCTGGACGTTTTATATAAGAACAAAAGGATGGACCCGACGAGCATTAATCATTTTTACTTGAGAGAACGTTGACAGAAACTTGCGCTCGTATTACTTTACGCGATTGTATTAAATTCCTTGTAATAAATATTTAATCGATTTCAATAGTCTATATCGCATCTACTAATTGTCCGGGTACTCTAATAATAGTTATATTATTTCCTCCTCATATAGCTTCCTTCATTTTTCCATCGAGATATTTAAGTTTCAAGCAACTTTCTAAGAGTCCCTTTTGCCCCTTGTGAACATTGTGAATTTGCCGAAGAGAGCACATTAACTATCCAGTTTCATTTCCTATGGATTAAGATAACTCGTAGGACGATCTTATCGTCATTGCTCCTCTTTCGATTTCCATTTTCACTTATCCTTTTTTTTATATCCCTTTCTTATTCGAACATTTACTTCGTTCCTCGAGGACGATGGCCGTCGTATCCGTTCTCAGGAAAATCCTCGATGAACGATCACGGCGTTACTCTCTTATCTCTTTTAACAGGCTGATGATGTTCCTATTAGACGTTTCTACGTCACCGATAGCGTCAAGCGCTCATTTGTCAACTCTACGGCGTCCTTATCGTCAACGTAAAGAGTACTTTAGAAAATTTCATTTCTCCCTTGGTTATAATAACAAATCTTTTTACCGGCGGATAACCTTTCAACTTTGGGAGAGATAGCGCGTGAAACTTTTGAAATATTCAAAATCAATTATTTGCCTTTCAATAACGGCGATTAATACTGGATCGATTAATTGCCATCTCGATTGTCACGAGATTTTTTTAAATCTTATTGGGATAATCAATGGGATAAGTCTTTCCTTATCACGCATAACGACTTTAATTATTCAGGCTTATAATCAAATTAGATTATATTTTTATCAATTTTATCAATTAATACTTCCATAGGATAATTTTTACTTTTTACATTACTGCTACCACTTATTATAAGATATCTTTTATTCGATGACATTTTTTGCCAGAGTATATGTCATCGGAGTGAATTGTCAAGGGAATGTAATTGCTGGTCGAGGTCAACGACGGTTAAAAACACACACACAACTCGATCAAGATATCGAAAGAAAATATATGAGATTTGTCGAATCTTTTCGAAAATCTGCGGAAAGATATATTCTTTTATTCTGGTGGGTTTATTCGATAGTAAGAAGAATGTGGAAGGTCGCCGTTCAATGGAATTCATATCTCTCGTGACGTTCGTTCTCTCTGTTTTTCTTACAAGGGAAACATAGGTACATTTACATTCTTCGAAGAGAATCCCTTTTTCTGGTTTAGAACGAACAATGCCATGCAAACTTTGCACGCATAGCATACATATATGTAAGACCAAAATGGTCCAGAGGGACATTCGTCCAAGTTCCTTTCTCTCGATCTTTGAGTCTTCGATGATATTTTCGAATCATATTACTTCCTTTTGTTTCACCGCCATTACCTTCACCTTTCTTATCATTTCTTTCCTTCTTTCATCTGTTTTATCTTAACGCGGTCTTCATTTGTTCAATATTACTAAAAATTTTTTAAATTCGAAAAGTAACATTCATCGAATTCGATCGTGACGTTTTAACGAGGCTCTTAAAGCATGAATTTTCAATGGAAATGGAAAATTATCGGGTTAACGTTCAAAATGAGACGGCTACTTTTATTTCGTATCATTGCTGTCAGTCGCAGGTGCATTCGTATTTTTATATACACACATCTATACGTAAATATATCCTCATATACATAAACGCATGTATTCTCGAAGTTGAAAGAAATATCATCGTCACTTTTCTACCGGCGAAAGATGCTTTAATCTTAATTTGAGATCGCGCATAGACCTAGTACCCCGCATTGAAATCCCTCGAACGCTTCGATGTAATTGTACGTAGTATCGAATGACGCATTACTTATATCGACTATATCGTTATCGAGATTTTATCGCGGTTTTCAATGGGTTCGGGCATTGAAAAAATTTGTTTATTAAAAGAAAAAAAAAAAAAAAAAAAAGAAACAAAAAAAGAAAAAAAAAAACAAAAAAAATAAAGAAAAGGAAATAAAGTAAAGTAGAGAGGAAAAAGGAAAATATTAATTTTTATCCTATTTTACGGTTGGTTCGAAAGATCGCGCTCGCTCTTTAATCGTGCAATTGTATTATGAACTTTCCATAAATTCGTCTCTTTCGGAGAGGATTTAAATACCGACAGCAATACTTTTATATCGTAACCGAAGGTAAACGCATGGATACCTCTACAATACTATGATATATTTCAGAGGGAATCCGATAGCGATTTACGGCATCGTATTCCACATTGCTTTTGGAAAAAGGGAAAAATACAAACAGACAATATGAAACGCTTTGGCTCTTTGTACGGATCACGCTAACGTCTACGTCTATTATTTCGTAGTAACTTTTCTTTTTTTTTTTTTAATAATTTCTACGTTCGCCACGAAAAAATATAATGAGTAGAATTTTGTTTCCGTACTCGAGTACAAAATATGAATGCGAAAACGTAGGAATTATACGATTCGATGAATGAATAAGAGAGAGAGAGAGAGAGAGAGAGAAGTTGACGGAGAGAGGGATATTAAATTCAATTAAGAC